AAATGAAAGCAGGGGGCTATCGGACCTTCATCGCGAGCTCATCCAGCTCCAGCTCATTTTTTTTTCCAGCGAAGGCCTTATCAATGTAACAGCCATCAGCGAATTACCATTTGCATTGCCAAGGAAACTACACTTGGAGGTCACAGCTCTTGCTGTGAAATTGGTAGCTCTCAGGACGAGTTTCGATTAACTAATTTATGGATGTAATTTAAAGATTTTTCTTGGTATTCCCAAGGATCTAATTTGAATAGTAATTCAACTAACTATGTGTATAACTTGTACTCAATACTTATTTAATATCAATTCCCTCACTTAATTAACCATTAGTAATTCATTTTCCCTTTATAAAAGATTAATTTCTGAAGCTGTAATATATTATTCAATTAAAGTCAGCTGCAAAATAGTCTGCATAACTTAATGCTTAAATGTGCGCATTAATTGCATTGCCCCATCAATGAAGTAAGTGCATTTCCACTTGCAGTACATGTGTTCGATTCACACTCGGTTAATGTTATTTTAATTAAAAAGGAAAATTCAAAATGGATATATACACGCATGCACGCATATAGCCGCCCATTCAAGCGATTTAAAAACAGACTGGCCCGGCCTTTAACCGTTCGAAAACAATGAGCGTGAAATGGCGGACGGGATAGCTGGCCACAAGCTCGTCATCACTGGACAGGCCACGGAATTGCGTTGTTGTTACTGTTGTTACTCTTGATGGGATCCGGTGCCGGTGCCAGAGCAAAGCGTCGTGTTTATTAATGAGCTGGCAGCGCTCCATCTGCCACATGCAGAGACGGAGCCAGAGCCAGAGCGAGAGCATTCTGCTGATTGTCCGCCCACGTCCTTATCCGGCCGTATTTAAATCAGTGGCCCGGGATAATCACAATCAAAATGTATGCAAATTGAGATGGGGAATGCGCTGGCAAGCTCGTAAAGCTCGAAACCATCCAATTTAACAGATTTTTCCGCCTGCACATTGCGGCGGTGGCCAGTTGATGGAGTGTCGGCCAGGATGCGCCTTGGAGACTCTGAGCATTCAACTCATCCTCCGCCGCCATATGTGGAAATTAATTAACGGGAGTTAAGCTGGATGGAAAATTAATTGAGGCAACTTAATGTGCGGAATATTCGCAATTAAAATACCCAAGAGGACAGGCGAACGAACAGGTGCAATTGAAAGCGGCGATCAACTTCTGGGGAATAAATTATGCTAAACCCTGGTCACTATTAGGATCCGTCGACGCCTCATTATAAAAAGTAAAGTAAAATACAGATAAAGTTTTACGGCGCCGAGAAGAGCCGCGTTTGTTGGTCTTTGCCTCTCGACTGCACTTTAAGCACCGAAGTTCGTTAATGCGTGTACGTGAGCGCTGTTCAGAATCCGGATTCCGGATGCCGGAGCCCGGCGAGCGGCCCATCAACTAGCATCTCCTGGTCGGATTAGCAGCCAAAGTTCGCGCTGAAACAACAACAAGCGTAGCGTAGAGCGCCGCGCGGTGTCTGTTTCCATTTGCGTTTCGGGGGGCCAAATGTCGGAAATCGCGTAATACTCGCTGCGAGTGCAACACAAACACACACGATTCACCACACCTGAACACACAGCTCATTATTAATGTGCAAACTTCGATGGGCCCATCGCCTTACGTAACCCGTGCCTGTGCCGGGCGGCATCATTGTTGCGTCCCAGCTAATGATGGCGGGGGAAAGGCGGCTGGCTGCCACTCCGGGGGGCAGCATTAATAAATTCCGCACGTACTGAGCCCTCCATATAAATCTGTTTCAAGCATATCCTTGAAAATTGCAATTGCAAAGCAGCAGTTGCCGCAGTGGTGCGAAAAAGAGGAACAGCCAAGGCAAGCCAGGAGACAGGCAGCTCGGCGCACAAGAAACAAAAAAAAAGTGGCAAGGCCCGTCGGAGGAGGGGTGGGGTGGGGTGGCCGCCGCCCGAGTGGGATTTGACGGGGGCGGGTGGACTTAGCTCCAAAGCCAGCACAAATACCTTCCAGGCAGCGAAGAAACAAAAAGCGAACTTTGCATAGGCTTCCAGGCAAACGACGAAGACGAGCCGACTCCGACCTCCAGCTCGAGTACGAGTCCCTTTGGGGACCTGCCCCACGCAAAGAACTATTACAGCGCCCTCCTCCTCCTGGATAAGGCAGCGGATAAAAAGGCCCTCGGAGGGGCAATGTTTTGTACTGGCAACTGCAACAGTTTGCGCTCCCTTCCAGCGCCTGCGCACAAGCACCCCACTGCGAGTCCTCCGAGCAGCAACAGGCTGAACAGGAGCAGCCCCACAACAGCAGCACTTGGACGAGGGGGGCCGCCATCGGAATAGCAATGCGGGCTATGCATTTTTATGGGCTAGACAAAGCCCATCAGACCATCAGCCCATCAACCCATCAGGCCATCTGCAAGCTGGCCACTCATTGTCCCTGCGCCAATGGCCCTTTCAGAAGATTCCCAAGCAGAGAATAACGTAACTCACTTTTTATACACTTTTATACCTTTAAGGTTGAATATTCCTTTCATAAAGATTATGTAATAATTATATTAGAAATGCAGAATATTTAAAATAGACTACTTCAAGATTTAAAATATTTTTTGATTGAGAAAAAACTAATGAAAAATATTCCAATATTGTTCATCGATAGGATATTCCTTTTTAAAGTCTGTTCAAACTTTTCCTTAAATAAAAACGACTACTCTTTCTTTTTAAAAATATTTCCAAAAACCCCCTGATATGTGTTAAAAAATAAACTAATCGATTGAAAATTTAAGGACATTTTTCTTGGTGCTCCATTAGGTTTGCAGCCAGCGGGGATTTCTATTATCGCACTCCATAGATACTTTATTGTCTGTCGGAGCCTGTGCATTCTTCCCCAATGCTACCGATAAAGTGCTTGATAAATGAATCGGGCAACTTAAGCGCAGCGGAGACGGCGGCGGCGGCGCTAAGTAAACTCGACTAAACTTTCGAGTAAAACGGGATATTATGCACCAGCACAGAGTGTCCTCCGCCTTCTGGTGGCCCCATCGACTCGGATGCTCCTCTGCGATGGGATTCCTATGCCAGCTGCTGTGCTTATTTAAAATTTATGAAAACGCATCATCTGCACAGCACGTTCCATTATTTGCCAGATAACTCAGCACCGGGCGGCGACGGCGGCAAATAGCACGCGGAGCACGCGCCCAAGGACGAGGTCCTCACCTGGCCACCACCTGCTCACATCTGCCCATTTGCCCATGTAAGCTTAAGCGTATAGGTGTAAGGATGAGTGTGTGTAGTACAAACAAACAGTGGACATTTTTCAGGAGGTTTCGACGACCAGCAAGCAGCAACCAGCAGCTAGCTAGAGAGCAACAGCAGCATCCTGGCAGGATTTATGTGCGTAATGTGAAAAATTTCAAGCAGCAAACGCTGTAAATTCATATGGCACCCACTCACTCGCCCATGTGAGAGCGTGTCCAAGGATATTTGTGTTTAACCAAGCATAATCCTATTAAATGTGACAGGGGACGACAATTGGCTGGATTTTTGGCCACGACAGAGCAGCCAGCAGCCAGCAGCCAGCAGCTCGTTCCCTGCATTGTCGGGACCACTGGAGTGTATTAAAATATGACAAACTGTTTTTGTTTTCTGCTGGAGCCACGTAAACAACGTAGTAATGCCTCTTGTGCCACCCACGGAAATGAGATTTTGATTAATGCGCATTGCATTGGTTGGCTGCTGCTGGTGGGGGGAGACCCCTAGGTCCTGAGTCCTGCTCATCCTGCTGGTGCTCCTGCTGCGTGGTGCATTAGCGTCATCGCTGCACATGAAGGACTGGCTGGCTGGCCACCGAAATGCAAATGCAGTGGCAGACACACTCAGAAAAATTTTAATCTCTCACAAGATTTTGTATTTATGTAATTTTATTTCATTTTACCTTTCAAAAACATGATTTCCGCTTAAGATAATTCAATTACTTTCCAGGAAATATTTCTCAAAGTCAAAGCCTTTTCTGTTCAAGTGCAGAATTTGCGTGAAAAAGGCGGCGGGCGGTCAAGGGCACCGACATGGGACTGTTGCATTCATTTGTCTTCCTCAGGCGCCTGCCAGGCGCAGTAACATTGCACTTGCACATGCAACATGCAACATGCAGCACGCATCGCGCCATCTACGTCTACATTAGAGGGAGTAGGAACAGGAACAGAAGCAGGAGCATTCAGCAGGGCTTAATTCAATTGGTGGGCATGAAATATTTAAGATGCTGACGCAAGTGCATACCGATGTAAGTATCTCATATGCTGCGCACTCTAAATCGTATTATGCACAGTGCAGCAGGCAGGGAACGTGAGCGGCAGAGCAGAGAGCCTGGCGATTCCTAGGAAAACTGGTTGCTCCTGCTGCTGCTACCTCTTGCTGAGCGAATTCTAACGATTTTCACATTAGCAGGCGGACCTGGCACACCGCTGGCAGCTGTCTATCCATCCGACTGCCTCGGCGGAAGACGTTTGTTGTGCGTCCTAGTTGCAGAACTGGCTCCTCCATCCGCCGCTATCTGCCATCGGGCTGCGTGGCAGCCTCTTCCGCTCCATCACAGGAACATGTTTGTATGCTTCTGTTATGCTTCTTGTTCAATGCGAAGCATAGATAAATCTACTACCATTCCCGGGTCCTGGCTTTAACAATATTTCACAAAATTCCAACGTTATGCAATCCAAATGTCAATTATATATATATAAAAGTACAAAGTCCCTTACCTGACGGCCATATTTATAGGATTTTTTCGTGTGTGCGGTGGCTTGGGGAATTCAGCACTTCTCCATTGCCATTTTGCAGTACATTTTAAGCCGGCCAAAAATAGCTGCTGGCGGCGCTGTTTATAGATATGGATTATTTCCAGCAGAGCCAGAGCCACTTTACGTAATTACACGTTCTCGGGCGACAGGATGATGAATAAAGCTGCCTCCACTAAATTAAAGACTCTTTCGAGAATAAAATTCCACTTGGTTTTTTTTTTTTCAAATAAAAATGCATACAATTTGTTTATTTTTCATTCGCCTCTCAGTGTTTGGCGAATTTACACACTAAATATCATAGGTATTACATAAAATTGCTTGTAAATATATATTTTTACATTTGTATAAAAGTGGAAACTGAAATCGCCCGAGGACATTTGTCATAGTTGTGCTTATGCATTGTGTTACATATACTACGGATTACAACTGGACGCACTTACACACGCTAACTACATTATTTACGATTATTTGATTTATGTTCTTCGCTCGCTCTTTTCGTTTCGTTTCGGTTCGAATCGGGTTTAGTTTCCGGGGTTTGCTTATGGCTAAAACTAAGAAGAGAGTAGCCCCAAAATGCGGGCAGTCGGAATGCTTAGAGTTGGTTCAGGGCAGGGGCTGGGATGGATCATCGTGAATACTTCGGTTTTTGCTCCTACTTTTTGTGCTAGAACATAAAACGTAAATTTAATTTGCGGAAATTAAGCAAAGCCCTTTCGAAAAAAAAAGATGAGGGGAAAAACCAGATGCTTTATGCAAATGATAGTTAAATGCAAACAAAGTGAAATTATTTAATTCAATTAAATAAGATTTTTGTTTTTTTTTTCGTCGTTCGTTTTCTCTTTTTTTGTTGTTTTGTTAATTTGAATTCCGATGGGTTTGGGTGGCGATTTGTGCTTTGTGGTTGCTGCACAACATTAAATTTACAGTTACTGTTGTCCCGTCTCAATTGGTTTTTAATTTGCAATGAAAATATTTCCTTTTAATGCGCACACACTGTCATGATTAGTAACAAATGGGTTTGTAAATGCTGGGGACACACGTTATTTGCACAATTAATTACAAAATATCATCTCAATGCATATATGCGAATATCGTACATATGTATACAATTAGTGGCTATATTAAAGGACCTTCTGATATGTGTGTGTGTGCGTTTGCCTGGATCACATACCCACCTACCACACGGCGTATACGCAATGTCGCCGCTCTATCCTAATTCCTGGCAGCTGCTGCCTACTTCTTTTTGCCCTTTCTCTTGTTCTTGCTGCGGTTATTGTTGCTGCTGCTGCTGCTGTTGCTGTTGCTGTTGCTGCTGCGGTTGGTGCCCTGCTTGCTGGTCTCCGCTGGCCGGGGAATGCCGCTGGTCACAATGTTGGACACTGTCCGCGTGGTGGTCACCACACTGCTGCTCGGCTCATTGTCCGCCGCACTCACAGCCTCCGTGGTGGTGGTGGTCGTCGTAATGGTCTCTCCCTGCTGCCGGTCAAAGATCTGGCGCTCTGCCTCCCCACCGCTCAGCAGCCGGTTGAATATAGCCTCCCCGGACTCGCCCTTTTGCGTCTTCTTCTTCTGCTTCTTGACCACCTCGGTGACGGTGACCACTGCCGTGCTGTCACTGGCAGCGGGCAGCGTGTAGGTGCGCTGCGTCTCCACGACTGTGCCGCCGTCGGCGCTGAGCAAATCCTCGACAGACTTGCGCAGCTGCTTTGAGATCTCGGCCAGGGCGCGCTGCTCGGCCTGCAACTGGGCCAGGGTATCGGCACCGCAAGCAGGCGCTGCCTCTGGCTCAAGTTCCGACTCCTTCACCTCTTCCTTTGGGTCCTCCTGCTCCTCCTCCGCCTGCTGCTGGATGGCCGTGTATGTCTGTGACTTTTGTAGCTTGCTGCCGGCGGCCAGCGTGTTGAGATTCTCGATCACCTGGGCGCCCTGCACATAGGTGACATTCAGTTGCTCTGAAGCATTGTCCTCCTCATCGGAGTCATCGCTGTCCTCGTCGGAGGAGTCACTGCTCTCCTCCTCATCATCGTCCTCCTCATCCTCGTCGTCGGACAACTGGCCAGCCAATTTGGCAATGATTGTGTTGCGGTTGCTGTCCTTTATCAGCTCCTCGAGCAGCTGCTGATTGCCGTTCTTGGCATCGTCCTGCTCATTAGCTGCGCGGCTCGTGACCGTGGTAGCGCCAAAGTCAACCACATCGTCCATGGCATCGCCGTAGGCGCTCTCCTCGTCGTCCCGCGCATCACCATAGGCACTGCTCCCCTCCTCCTCCTCGTCATCCTCCTCGAGGCTCTTCTGCAAATTCAATTTGACGCGCTCGTTTTCCAGCAGCTCCTCGAGTACGGTTTTCATTTTCGCATTTAATGACAGCTCAGTCCTGCCAGCGCCGGCGGCGTCGGGCAAAACGAAGGTTTCGCTACGCAACACGGCCACGGCGCCACCTTGCTCGAAGTCGTCCTCGTCCTGGTCGAAGGGAGCGCCGCTGCTCACGTGGATGGTGCGAGCACTGCCGTCGCCCCCGATGACGGGATTTAGGACCTCGACAATGGTCGTCTCCTTGGCCAGGGTTTGGTGGAGCGAAAGAGGCGTGGGCTTGATGCGAACCTTGCCGGAGGAGACGCTCTCGATGGACGAGGGGCCGTAGGCATCGGAGTCGTGCCGCAGGAAAAGCTTCTCGTTGTTCGCCTGCACGGTCACAATGGAGGCGGTGTCCTCTTCCTCCTCATCGTCGTAGTCATCTTCCTCATCCTGGAAGTCATCTTCCTCATCTTCCTCGAAATCATCCGCCTCGAGTTGCAGCTCCAGCGGCGGCTGCGTATCGTCTAGGGTGCCCTCCTCCGGTTCGGGCACCTGCAGCTCCAAGGATATGATGCGCTCCTTGCAGGTCTCCACCTAAGTGTAGATGAGGCATGGAAACGTTGTGCATTCGGTTTGCCAGCACACTAACTACTAATGGAAGCGACGAAAAAAGCAACGGAAGGCGCAGGCAGCCACAACCAGAGAGGTGGGTGTAAATGCTAACAGCTTACAGCTAATTTATACAGCGAAATGGAAAATGAACAGCTTGCCAGGTGAGTTGAGGTGAGAGCCAGGACCAAAAGGGCGTGAGTATGCTACGGGCTAGACAAACAGGTGTTAGAGAACTTGTCGTTAGTAATTACAAGATGGGTGAACGTGCAGGAAACTTTGGGGGTTCGACTTGATCTGATCACGACTTGGGCGAAAATTTTGAGACGCCCGGACCGTCACGCAGCCGGGCAGCCTTGTCGTATACGTGATATGAGGCAAATTGACAAACGACAGAAAGGAAAATTGCCTGCATTCTCATCAGGCAGGAGGCGGATAAAGGAGTCCCGGGCAGGACGATAAGCTGAAACTAAACTGCAGCTGCTGCTGACAGGCAAGGCTTCATGCAATCCGAGAACAGAGGCTGCTCCTGCTCCTGCTCCAGCAGCCTCCTGCGGCGCTTTCAATGCTCAACGGGGTCAGCCTCTGGCCAGGAGGCTTTTGCTGTGCAGCAAAGCCGAGTTTTTGCTCTCGAATTACCAGAACGAGACCGCAGCCAGACTCGGATTCGGAATCAGATACAGCCGAGGCTTCGGTTGCAGCAGCCACTCTGCACACACACACACTGCAGCGGTTTCTGAGCTCAGCCAGCCCAGGGGCCAGCAGTAGTCTTCGTGCTGTTGACATTCCTCCGAAATGCGGATGGCAATTCCTTCCGTTCCGTTTCAGTTTCGCTTTTGCAAATTGAAAAGCATGCCGAGCGCCGCGCTGCCATCCGAAACACGTGCCCGCAGAATAACAATAGCGTATAAAATGCCTTGCGTGTTGTTTGCTGGCTTGTTTGTTTTTATTTGCATTCTTTTTATATATATAGAAGTATATATTTTGAAACTCATTAAAACGATGCTGCCGCCGCAAACAAAAATCAACAAGAACAAGAACAACAATAACAAAGGTAAAGGCACAAAAACTTTTGCTTTAATTTTAATGGACTCGGCCATAAAAAAAAGGCAGAGCCGCGCAAAGCGTCATTATAATGCGTTTGCATACTAAAAATTGTATCCAGAATCAGGCCCCAACGAAATGGGGGTCGACTTCGTCGTTATTTTATAGACACGTGACAACAACAAACCCTAAAAACACAGACAATGAAACTCTTTTGAGGGCGCGGCCTTAAAAACCGCGACACTCGAACGGCCGCAATAACTGGAAATCATTTCTGGCGGCAGTGCGAACGCGAAAGCGAACCTTTACCTTTACCGCGTCGCCAAAGTGGCTTATTGTCCTTTTTATGCGCTGCACTTCAGCCAGGTTTAGGATACCAGAAGGCTACAGAGTGGGACTGGGGCTTGTTCGTGGTGGAGTAAGCCGGCGAAATGTCAACAAAATCCCCTGGGCAACTGAGTGCTCGGTGGATATTAAAATTTGTTTTACTCAACAGCAGTCCAAGTTGAAGAAGTTTCCAGCACCGGGACAGTACTATCCTGCCTTTCTCCCTGACAGACCATAACAATGATGAGCTCTATAAAATAATTAAGACTGTGCCGGAGATGTTTGCTTTTGTACAATGAGAAAGACGAGTGAATCGAGTGCTTTATGGGGAGAAGGTGCATTAAATGTTCGGAGGGTGCAAACGGATATGCGGACTACGACTTAAACGGAAGTGATTACGGCTACAATACACAGACGCTTAATGCGTAACGCTTAACGCTTTACGAGGCGGCAACAGAAACCGAAAATTAAGGGGGTGTAATGTGTCCAAAACGCTGTCTAAACGAAACTCGAAACGGTGCCAATTGATATATAATACAGTAACAATAATGGGTAACAGTTGGAGCTGTCAAAATATCGATTTATATTTAATATTTTAAGCATTTTGAGGCGATATATTCGATAAATTTATATTATAACAAAAATGTATTCAAGAAGAATAATTGTAATGGTGATTTTATATCAAAAGAAGTAAACAAAATTAATTCCTCAATTAATTAGTTCCTCAAAACTACTACCTTTTCGATATATTTTACAACATGGTGTAGAAATTTGATAACTAAAATTCGATATATTGATATTTCTTTCGATATTTTAACAGCTCTAATAACAGTACAAAGTGATTGCTGATTTTGGAATTTTAATTGATTTTGTTGATGGGCTAACCTCCGTCTCGATGATTTTCTCAATGTACTCGACGGTGCGCAGTTGAGGTCGCCCCGTTATGGGGCAGGGCACCTCCTCAGTGCGTCGCACAATCTTCTCATCGAGTATTTTCTCGCGTTCGCGCACAATGACTGGGCCGTCGCTCGACTTAATGGCAATTTTGGGAAAGACTATTTTCGGCTGAGCCTGATTAGTAACAAGAGGGAGAAAGATACAGAAACAGAGTTATAGGGAGAGTGAAAAATAGGAGTTAGGGATTTGGGGGCATCCAATTCGCATTCAGGGTCACATTCAGCATATACCGCTCTCTCGATCGCGATCCTTAAAAGTTAGTTAGTTAGTTAAGCAAACCATGTGGCTATGTGGGTTCTTTGCTCTTGTTTTTTGTCTTGGATTGGTTATGTTCGCAGGCAAGTAGTTTGGGCCACTCCTCCAGGCTCCATCAGGCGCTTGTTAATGGATATGGCTTGGGATTGGCTATGGTTTGGGGGGTGGGTTAGTGCTCCAAGGCTCCGAACACTTACCTCGCTGGCCTTGGCCTCGTGGGTGATCAGATCGTCGGTCATCTTGCGCATGTTCTTGATCACATCCTGGGCCTCCACGGCGCCCTGCTCCAGCGACCGCAGGCGAGCTGCCCGCCAGGATGCGCGCTTCTCGGCACTAAGGGGGGTGGGAGAGAGTTAAGTTAGAAATCATATTTTGCAAGGAAGAAGTGGGACTCGGCTTCAGCTTAAGCAAAACTAATTACAAGAATTGTATATACAGAGAGGGAGAGACAGAGAGTGGGTGTGGCTAGGACAGACACCGCTAACTAAAAACAGAGAGATGTAGAAGGTGTTCCAATCGACATAGAGATATACATAGAAATACATCGAGAGCCTCGCTTGCCTCGCGTGAGTGGGTGCATTCAGTGAGTGTTGTTGTAGTCGTGGGTGTTCTTTACAGTTCTCCCCCCAACAGGGCCCACCCAATTGGCATTTACACGCCTTGTGAAGGCCCACGGCGATGCTCCGATTCGGAATCCAACACTTGACCTGTAACCTTTCCAGGGCTTGGAGCCCGCACGCATGTCAACTCCTTGACCGTCACGCATTCAACTTACTTAATCATGGCCCGGCTCTTGCCGGTGGGCGTGGTGGGCGAGGTGGGCGATTGCTCCGAGTCTGCCGCCTCCAGCTGCCGGAGATAATCCTCCACACTGAGACCGGATTGGCGAGCAGCCGCGGCCAGGGCGCGGCGTTCGGCTTTCAGGGTTCTTATGGGGATGCGACTGCCACCGGCAGTGGGCGAGTGCTCGGTCTCAGGCTCGGGCTCAGGCTGAGGCTCAGGTTCCAGCTGAGGCTCTTGTAGCTGCTCTTCCGGTATGGTGGGCTCCTCCTGCTGCTCCTTCTGCTGCTGCTTGAGACGCTGCTGCAGGGCGGGCGGTATGACAACCTTGACCTTTGGCTTGGGCAGCAGCGAGGGCTTGGGAGGATCAAGAATCAGCGAGGGCTTCGCCTTCGGAAGCTCCGGCTTCCGTTGCTGCTGCTTCTGCTTGGGTATTTTGCTGGGGGCGTGCGGCGACGGCGGCGTTGTGGGTGTCGTCGCCAGACTTTGTGCGGTTCTGTCATAATTTTTTGAGAGTTGTTTCGTGTTCGAATTGTGCAAAGTAAAACACACATTTAATCAAAATAATTTGCGTTGTCAAAGCCAAAGGGGAATTCGGTGAGATGCGGTTAGCACGTGATATGAGCAGTTACAAACACAATGTCGTTAATTTCTTTTAGTCTTTTAGTCACACATGTACGTACGTGCCGGAGAGTTCCCTTAGTGCCCTGACGCTCACTCAGCCAGCCAACTTTGGCATAACAAGTCGAATTTGTTGTAATTAAAACCAAGAAACATACTGCAAAGTTTCCAGCCAAAGTCCCAAACCCGGACAAAATCACTTTTTGAAAAACTTTCGCCAACAAGTGCAATAACATGGCAGCTGGAGATTAGCCGAGGCAGCAGCCACCAGAGTGTCTGCGGAGTCGTAAAACTTGGTAGGAGCAGGGTGCCCCTTTTTGCCCTACATAACTACGTGTACATGAGATGCCAGGGAGAAAAAGCAGTATGCAAAATTAATTTGAAAATAAAGCGACATGAAACTATTTGCCAGGGGATTTCAACTGGCAACTATTTGGCCTATCCATTCAGGTTCCTTTCTCAGTTTTTTTGTCCTGCCAACTGACTTTTGTCTTTAACAAATTGCTACACACTTTCAATTTAACTTTAATGCGAAATTATTCACACAAAGCCCGAGCAACTACTAAGTCGCTGGCAGCAACTTCTGCTTGAGTGATTTATGTTTTTCAATTTGAGCGCCGCCGGGGCTTCTAGGATGCCTAGATCCTTGGGAAAAGGAGCGAGAGCGAAACTTTTCGGCTGAAACACTCCTTGCCAGTGTGGCTACCTACGCAAATGTCGTGCCCGAGGAGCGGAATCAAGGAGCCAACTAGGGGCAAAGAGGTCCAGGACGGGGCTAAGTGCGCCAAGCTCCTGACCCAGGGAATTGCACTTACAATATTCTCATGATTCTTTCCTTGCTCATTTCTTTGGCTCCTTTTATTCATTCATTTGTCCTCTCGACTTTTAAATGAACTCTGGCCGGGCACTCGAGCGCGCCGCTACAATAATCCTGGCGGGTCCTGGCCGGGGACCCGACCGAAGCGAAGCGAAAGTATTCCGGCGCGTTCAACTTTTGCAATTGACAGATTTACCCCCCCTTAGACTTTTTTACGTTCTAAATGATTGTTTTTCGTCTTTCAATTGCTAATTGCTGGGTTCACCCGCTCATAATGAGGCTCTCCCCCACTCGGAATAATCAAAACGCTACCCATAAACGTCGGCAACAGAGAGATGGTTAGCGGGGGGTCAGGGGTCAGAGTTCAGAGGTGAATGATGCAGAAACCACAACCGAAGAAGAGTGCTTGAAAGTTGGTAAGAGTTAAGCAATTATGCAAATATGGTGATTGGTACGATAAATAAATAAATTGCCATAAAGCTAATTTGAATCATTCGCCTTTATTTCTAGAGTTTAATAAAATTGTACTTTTTTTCTGTATATGCAAAATAACAAAGTTACATAAATATATAAATAGGTATGGCACAATTCGATGACAAATACGTGTGTGAGTGTGTGTGTTGTGTGTGGTTAATATAATGGTAATGATAATGCTGTGAGTCCATAACCGTAGTCATTAATATTATGTAATACATGGTTAAGCAGTTCTTATGTTTAACATATATAAATATTTATAAAATATATATCGAGAATGGTAACATGGTTTGTTGTTGTGTAAACTTAACTTGCAGGACATTTTAGGAATAAACGTATATTTGCTAGGATAAAAAAGATGCTCTTGGAAATGCCAACTTAAAGTCCAGGAACTTGCTAACTTTATTATACTTTTACTTTTAATTTTTGTTTAATGAAAACACCTAGAGAGTCCCTGTAAGTTTCATTTTTTATGGTAATCTATTAACAAGCATGGCGAGTCGGGAATTTCAATCGCAATGGCGATAAATCGACATTAAACCGAGACAATGACCCTCGCGTGACTCTATCCACACACACATTTATCTATGGCAATTAAAAAATCGTTTACAAAAGGGACAACGAGGTGGCGGGGAGGTGAACCGAAACTAATGAGACTTCTTGTCCTGCTCCAAAAATCATTATTTTTAATAACAAACATTTCAGAAATGCAAAATGCATATAAATTATGCAAGCAACAAAGCGCCGCACACACAAGGCACTGTGGGTGTTAGGAGGTGTGTATCTAGTGTGTGTGTGTGTGCTGAGGGGGTCTAGAAGTGCTGCAGGTGTGTGAGGGTGCAGGAGGTGTACTGAAAAATTTCAAGTGTTGCCAACTCAGACAGACTAGTTGTTGGTTTCGGTGTTGTTCAAAAAGTTGGGCAATTTGAAAAGAGAGAAATAATTAGGCTAATAAAATGCAAAAAAAAAGGAAGAGTCGGAGAAGCATGTGGCATTAACACCATGCTTAGCCCTGTCAGGTGTAGGGGGAAGTGGGAGTGGGTGTGGGCGTGGCTGGAGTCGTAGTCCATGGTAGTTGTCACTCTATAAAGTTCACGTTTCAGCGTTAACATGTTACGGGTATAAAAAGTTTTCGTGTCGCAGTATAAAAATGACTTTATATCGTAGATTAGTTGCTTTACTGCTTTAGTAGTAGTAACTTATGCTCGGGAAAAAGTCTCGCTCGAAATACATACTTTACATAGTTTCTCAAGTATATATAGAGTAGGTTACACTTAAAGCTATGGTTAATAAACGTGTCACATTCGCACAACTTGTGTAGTGTGAGGGTGTCAGAGCTTAGTTTAGTTTAACTTCTAAATACTGCTTCAATTTCTTCGAGTGGATTCCTGCAAAAGTGGTTTGGGAAAAGCAGAAACAAAAAGTTTTTGTGGTGTACAATTAAAAAAGGTGCACTGGGTGGGAGAGAGACTTGTGCTAATTGCAAAATAATAAACACAATGTGGCCAGGAGAGTAGTTCCCCCTGGCTTCCCTTGGTTTGGTTCTGTCTACTGCGGGCTTTTCCACGGACTGTAATTAATATTTATGTGACCAAAACAAAACAACAATCAAGCGAAAATAAAACGCATACTATGGAGACACAAAAAAAAAGAATAAAATAGACTGAGACTGAGACTTGGACTGCGGCTGAGAAATGGAAAACAAAAAACATCATTAACGCCCTCATTTTTAGCTTAAGGTCAAATTATGCTTTTATATCTCAGACACAGACACAGCGCCACTCCGATTTGCATACGCCGGGGACAGGGCAGAGGGGTAGTGGAGCTGAGCGGACGCGATCCATTTGAGGAACGAACGAAGCGCCAACGCCATAAAATATAAATTAATTTATGCGCAATCAACAAAACATAAATATTTTCATCTGCATAAAATCACAAAAACCGTCCAAGAAGCAAACGGCCGCAAACATATACATTTAAATGTAAAAAAAAAAATTTAATATAAAAACCGAAAAACCAAAAAACCAAAAGAGAAGAAACCGAAAAAAACAACAGCCGTCCACTGACCACCAATTGTCTTGTCGCTGCCAAAATTTCAGGGTCAACAGCAACCGCCAGGCCAGGCCAAATCCAATTCCAATTGAAAGCGAGAGCGCGGGAGTCATCGTCACCAGCAGAGACCAACTAATAATAGTTCATAAATTATCAAACAATAAATTAGACGATTAATGCACGGCTAAGAATTCGTTTAATAAGTTTTGCCGACGCGTCTCTTTGTCGTCACGGAAGCCAATTTAAAGTCGCCAAAAAAATAGAAAAATCAAATTCATAAACACGGATCTGGCGAGCCTTTTGTGTTTCACAACTTTTATAGATTTAGACGAGTTTAATTTGAATATAAATACAAATAGTTTGGAGAACACTGCCTTGCCGGCTAATTTGATATGGGTTTTTCTACATGTCTTCCTCTCGTTTTCTTCTTTATATTTCTATTTCTTTTTTTTTTTTGCACAAAATTTATGCATGGAAAAAAATATAAACAAGAACAGGAAAGAAGAACGGCGGGCGGGCTGAACTAGTAGAAATTCTTGCTAGAAATTTATTACAAGGTTATTAACATGTTTATCTTCTTTTCCTCGTTATGAATTCCAAGGCTACGGGCCGGAGCAACATAATAACACACATTTCAATTTATTATATTATGCATGTAAAGTTGTAAAGCCAGCTGCCAGGCGGGGGATAGAGCGGGATGTGCGGGCCAGGTCGTTCCCCAACTTTTTGGCAGCTGAGCCAATTCGACTTCAAGGTTTTCTTTCGGCCAAGTTGACAACCAGTCGTGGCGTGGCCTGGCTTGGCGTGGAAATTGCGCAGAATTCTCTAGGCCCACCTATGAAGTCATGGGTTATTTATTCCCAAATTTGTCCCAAAAATAATGATTAGTTTTTGCCGACTTGATTTATGCGTTTAAGGTTGGAACAACAACGTTAGAGAGATAAAGGAAATCGTTTATTTCCTTTGAAAACCCATTAAAAGGTTTCTTCGTAATGGAATGTACATAAGTGCTCGTGTGAAATTAGCTATCCTTGCCATATTTTCATAGCCCAGCCAGCCTTCGAGTAAATTTCATTCGCAAACACTGGGGACAAAGCGAGAGTCCTTAAATGTCCTGCAACTGGTTGTCATGCCATGCGATATCTGCTGTTGTCATACGTGTACACACACATATATTTTCTTGTATGTCCTCTGCTCTTTTGTTTATCTATTTTTCGCATACTCTTTCTGACCGGAAGCCGGCACTCTTTCTGATTTTTATTTGCCATATCTTATAACAAGTTGATTCCAAAGTCAGACTTCAGGTTATGATGAGCGCTAATTTGTGACAAAGGTCAAGCAACGCCGTGGAACGCTGGGTTAATGAACCGATAAGGGTATTCGAGCGGCGACTTTTGAACCCCGGAGATGACGCTCGCGCTGCTGCTCTTTTTAATGTTTTCCTGCAACAGCTTTGGGGGGCGAAATTGTATTAAATTACTTTGTTGTTGCTCATTATATAATATTGTTAGAGTCAGCCACTGGAACGAGGACGAGAACGAGAGCGCGAACGGGGACGAGTCCTTCAACCAAGCGAGCCGAGTGAGCAGGCACATACATATGTGTGAAACTTGGCTGATAAGCGCCGGAGGAGAGCTCCATGCACAAAATGGCTGCCACTGGGAGGAGGAGGAGAAGGAGGAGGTCTCCAGGAGACAACCACCTGGCATAAGCTTTTAGTTTTCTTCCATTGTGGGCTCCCCTCCCTGCCATGTTTTGTTTGTTTACCAACGCAGGGAGACACCAACGAGTTGTGCCTTTTGACACACAATGGTCGTTGCTACGTGTTGCATGCCCATCAAGCGGGCACCGCCCCTCACTCTACCCTCTCTACACCCTCCCCAGAGGGGCGCTAATTATAATTGCCTGTTTTGGGCATTAAAATATCATTTGGGCCGCGTACACAGGACTCTCTACTGAAGTCTCCCAGTTGCTTTTCCAGTTTCTCGCCACTCTGATTCATTCCCGCCGCTTAATTCAGTGCAGCATACTTAGCATAAAATCATCGATTCCCGACGGATACTAAATTATGCGTACGTGTGCGTGACTCTCTGCTGGCTCCTGAATTCTGATTCTCGGCTCCTGGCTCCCAGCTCGTTTGCCGATCCATTGCCGGCAACCTGGAGCGTCTCCGTGCTGGCACCGCCCAGTTGAGCGAGCAAACGCACAAAACGCAATTTGCGAAATGCCCAAATGAAGTTATTCAATTGTAAAAACAGCTGGCATTGTGCCGCGGGGAATAGAAGGAGGTATGGCGGAGGAGTAGCGGCAAGGGTGAGAGAGAGCTGGCTTGGCCCGGGGGCATGGCCCGCTCTACGTTGCGTATACGCAATGTTAGGGAAAAATTAAGTTAAGCAGCACGGAAATACTTACACTTTTGGAGGAGCCTCTCTCTCCGGAGTCTGGACTAGATTATCATATGCCCGAGATGAGATTTCAAGCCCAGCAGGCTTGGTCTATGTACTAAAAAGATTTCCGCGCCAGAACCATAACATGTTTTCCCATCATCTTCTTGCTTCACCTCCTCCTCGAGATTTTTTACTTTTTTTCAACTGTTTTTTTTTTTTTTTTTTTTTTTAGCTGAGTGTCTGCCTGCGATTTACGAGTCCATACAGCGCTTAAGTGCTACATAAAACTTAAACTGCTTAGGGCTTACACGCTTATAATCGTATGCATGTGTCTGGGGAGTGTGTACTGTGTGTACTGTGTGTGTGTGGAGTGTACTTACTATTAAAGACCTCTCAGCCATAGATCGCTATCCCTATTTAATAACACACTAAGTCTCGATGATGATTAGCAGCTCCGTCAGTTGACTGCGCTCGTGTGGCATGGATAGTAAAGAGAGTGGAATGTGTGTGTGTGTAGAGGGTGTGTGTGATGTGTGTATGAGAGACCAACTTAAGGGCAACGCATATATATATTTTTGAAGCAGCTGTAAGAGGGGAAAACCGGCACCAGAACCAAACCAAACCAAAAGGAAGCAGGGAAAACTTCACCAATAAAAACTAAAAAATGCAGCTTCGGATAAGAGATTATACGAAAGCAAATGCACAAACACCGTGTGGATAGTGTGGGGTGTGTGTGGAATATGAGTTATCATAATGGCTCAGGGTGAAGGGTGAGAGGTGATTGATTGATTGATCGGAAGTGTGAGGGTGTGAGGGTGTAGTGCCTGTGCATTCAGATGTAACATAAAAAGCGCATAATGCAAGCACCAGTAATCCGGAATGAGAGCAATGCACATCCGCCGAGCACTCACCTCATGTCCTCCGCTTCGTCAAAGTGCCCCAGAGCGGCGGCGGTGGCGGTGGCATTGTCGACGGCATCAGCCAGCTCATCCTCATCCTGCTCCTCCTGGTCGCTGTCTTCATTATCATACTCGCTGCTTTTGGTCTTGCTATTATCTGGGCGCTTATCGTCCTTGTCAATGTTGTCGTTGGCGGCATCCAATAATCTGGAATTCTTATCACGGCGCAGTGTTGCAATCTTGCGCTCCTCCTCCTGTCGCAGCTTCTCGACTTCGTCCTTTGACAGGAATGAGAAAACTTTGTCTGCAAAAAACAAGGCGGCAAAATGAAATCAGTGTGAGCATCATTGCAGAAAGCTGTGTAGCTATTAGGCCAAGGAAATTAAATAAATAGCGATCCAATGCAGCTTATGTACATAGTTCCTGGCTCTCCACACTTTGTCATGCAAATGGCGGGGCAGAAACACGCTCTCTAATTACGGAGAACCACAACGCAGGAGCGAGATAAGTGGCCTGATTGACAGCTGCGGCCACAGGGAGCGGAATTTAAGTGGCAGGACCACCAGCTAGGGCAAAGTGCATGCCAATCTTCCCCCTGACACTCGTGAATTGCGGTTCCATTGGCAAACTTTTCCCCTGGCTAACCACTCACTACTCACCTGTCTTTTGTGTGGGCTTGTGTTGATCCTCCATGGCTGACTCGAAGAAGCGTTTTTTATCGGAAACCGATTTAGGCACTTTACTCGGTGTTGGCTTTGTGGTGATGGCGGCCTCCCGGAGCTCCTGGTCCTGTTGCTCTGCCTCATCCCTGCTGGCAGGTGTTGACTGGAAAATGGGAAACCGTTTTTGTTAGCAACTCAACGCACACAGCAGCAGCAGCTGAAAAAAACTCAACCATTTATTAACAAAGCAAAAAATCAATAAACAGATAAAGCATAACCGCCGGCAGCTATGACTCTCGCGCTGCGTTGCGCTCCCTCTGCCACATTTTCAATTAAATGACTGGGAAAAACTGCAATTTTCAAAAGCGAAAGCTGGAAAATCCAAAATGGCCATAAAGAAAATTGATGACACTACACAAGTTTATTAAAAAGCAGACGGAACTAACGGCGTTCGGCTCGGTTTGTCTGCCCACTGCCTCAATCATAAAGTGACCAAGCCGACATTTTCGGAAGAGAACGGACTCTGCACTCTCGGGGCATATAATATACAGTCGGCTGGGGCTTAGGATTGGATTTGAGGGTGGACTGAATTGGAGAGGGCGCAAATTACAGCTGCGTGGAGAGGAGGAACCCAACCGGACCAGGCCATTTATCACCCAAAGTCGTGTACTGTCGGTTTTATGCTTTCATGCAATTCCTCGTGTTGGGGCAACATGAGCCACAGTAGCGAGATAAAGCCAAGCCGGGTGGATAGTTAGTGCCGAGCACCGAGCGACTACGACGACAAAGTCATTAAATGGCAGCCAGGATATGGAGGAGGGATGGAATCCGGGGCAAAACAAAGGCAAACAGGGCAAAGGCCAGCGTTAAACTGCACAAATTGCAACCTTATACCGACCAAGGGTTCGACCCCTCCAGCCAGAAGCAAGGACCACGACCAGGACCAAGGACCGCACCACACACCAGTCCGAGAGAGAGAGCTCATAAATAAACCAAGTCGGGGGTAAGAGCACACCGACAAGTGCATGGGGGAATGAGGGAGCTTAACTGAGCTGTATTTTTAGAAGAGAAATTAATTTCGTATCGGATTTTTCGATTTTCAATTAAAGTCAATGCGAAGAGGCAACACGGAGAGCCGGTTTATCAGCATCAGTCTAGAGCTCTCGATGGCTCTCAGTAGCTGCTGCTGTTGCTGCTGCTGCTGCCTTTTGGCCTGCTCAGCAGTCCAGCTAATAGGAATTTATTGAGCCATGAAAGTGTTGAGACAGTGTGTGTGATACCCGATTCCTGTGTGTTCAGTGTGTGTGTGTGTGTGCTTGCATTAAAAGCCAATAAGCCATTGAATTATTTAGCCAGTGTTGGTGGCCAAGATTTGGGTGCGTGTGTGGTGACACATGCGATAAGGCGATGATACATGAACAGCGACAGCGACGACTACGACGACTCCTTATCGCGGCAATTAATGGAGTACCGCGATAAGATAAAAGCCCAAGAGAACACCTATAAAAAGGGGTAACAGTTCGCCAGCCAAATCAGTGCCTGGCCAGGTGCCAGGCTGGCCACATGCTAACCGGTAAAGGTGGCACTTTGCCTAGAGTTTCAGGTGGTAATTGGGGTCAAGGCCCAATTAGACAGGTGGCTAGAAGCGAGCCAAGGTCAGGGGGAGGGGCTAGCCTAAGGGGGCCATCAAACAATTGGGGAGAATTGTTTACACAAAGACAACGACAAAATGAAAGAGAGACCACGGAACGCAAATAAGAATAATACGCAATGTTTATTTGCCTTAAGGTATGCAATTAAAAATGTTCAGCTCGCTTCTTTGTCTTGATAAAATAAATTAGCATTAAAATCAACTTAGCAATGAACTTTATAAATTGTAAAATTGTATTTTCTGTGTGTTATTCTGTTCTGTTATTTTCGTTATCGTTATATTCAGGTATTTTTCATCGTTATACTTATTTATTCGTTGGTTTTTCGTTTTGGCAAAACAAAGCAATAATAAAGACGGGCGGCGGTAGCGGCAACAGCAGGAGCTCCAGCAATGGCTGAAAAAAATTGATGGCCCAGTGGGCGTGGTAACTGCAGGTGGTGGACAACTGTTTCAATCAACGTCAAATTAAACTTGGCCGAAGCACAGAACGGCAGGCAGGTGGCTGGAGTGACAGGGAGCTGTGCACATTAAACTTCAACCACTTGCTGCTCAATTTCAACTGCAATTTTGCGAGCTACCAGGGGTAGCTTAATGGGGCTGCAGGAGGAGTCTCAAAAGTCAACAAAAAGTTGCATCTAATTAGCTGGAAAGGTGCAGCAGCAGCAGCGCAAGTTCGGGGCCCAGACACGACCCACAAATCAATCAATTTAAATTGCCAGCGAGAGTGCGCAGCGAAAATATTGAAAATTGCTGGCGAAAAGCGAAAAGAGAGACAGACAATTGGTGGCGGGGGAAAATCGCTGGGGCTGGGCCATTTAATTGATGGCAAAAAGGTGTTAGAATTTAATTAAAATGTATGAGCAGTGACAAGGAGCACCGTGGGAAGAGATAGAGAAAACGAGGTAGTAAGAGGGAGCAGCTGCCAATGCGGTCAGCTTAGGAGCAATTAAAGGCACAGTCACTTGGAAGGCTACGAAAAAGGGAAGGCACACACTCAGGTGAATCGCTTTGGTAGGTAGGAAAAATCCTGGGAAATTCCCTGGAAAATTAAACAGCTATGGCAGGCCAGCTAATTACCACTTTTTAAAGAATTAATAAGAAATAATTTTAATACTAAAATTAGTTTGTTAAAACTGCCCACTCAATGATGGTTTTACAGGTTTTCAGGTTTTGGAATGCTTGTTTTTAGGATGCAGAAACTCCTACACCGTTGTCTCCTTGCCAGTGGGCGTGCCCGGAGTGCGGGGCGTGGCCGGTTGCTGCACCCAAACCCCCTCCAACTGCGGCTGCGACTGGGAGCGCAGCTTAAAACTGGCCATGCCCCTCAAACCATGAGGTTTCTGGGCCACCGGTGGCGGAGCAGGGGCTATGCGCAGCTTGGTCGGTTTCAAGGGCCTCTTGGGCGGCAGAGGTGGAGGCGTGGGCGACTTGGAGGCCCGGCACGACACCGAAGTATCGCTGCTCCGGCGCGAGTCAAAGAACGAGGTGTTGCTGTAGATGGCCTCCTCCTCGATGGTCGAGTAGATCTCCTCGGCCGTCTCATAGTAGCCGTGACTGGAGGAGAAAGAGTTGACACCACCACCTCCACTGGCCTTGGGCAGCAGCAGCGAGGAGCTGGAGGAGTTGACAGAAAAGGAGCTGGTGCTGTTGGCCAGCGAGGAATTCGAGATGCCAACGCGCGCCGTCGTCATGTTTTGGTAATTGCTATTTGAGTCGGGACTGAGTATCTCCGAGAAGGTCGGGAACTTCATGGCCGCGTACGAGGGCGTGGGCGAGGTAACGGTAACGGACACGGGAGCGGGAACGGTCGTGGTAGCTGGAGGCGGAGGTGGCACACTACGCCTCGGCTTGCCACTCGATTCACTCACCGGTAACTGGGACGGTTGCAGATAGAGCACGGCCGGCGAGGAGCTGTTGCCCCCCAGCTGGTCGCCGGGCACGAGGACCAGGTTAAAAAGGGGCCCGGTAGTGGTGGCGGGAGAGGGGCCAGTGGCAGGGGAAGGGGTACCAGACCCCGAGGGGGAAGCGGACTTGAGGGTGAGCGTGTTGGGCTGCTGCGGTTGCGGCAGACTGGCATACTGCACGGGCAGTATCTGGGCCATGGGAAAGATATTTGTGGGCGACCCGGCGACCAGCAGCTGTTGCGGCGAGGAGTCCATCAAGCGGTTAGTAGTGGCGGCAGCAGCAGCAGCAGCATTGGAAGAACAAGATGAAGACGAGGATGCGTTAGCGGTTAGTGGTGACGGGAACTGAAACACCGGAGGAGGCGGAGGCTCATGCAAATGACGTGTGTAGTGGTGGTGGTTGGTTGGCGTCTGCTGTTGGGCGGGAGGTGAGTAGTTGGGAGGCGGTGGCAGTGGCAGGCTGTCAATGTCGGTGTCGCAACTATCTAGGAAGGGATTCGTTACCGAATATCCGCTGCTCGCAATCGGAATGGGCGGCGCCGGTTCGTAGGGCGCTCGCAGCTGGTTCCTCAGCTCGTTTTCCCTTAGCAGATACTCGCGGTGCTCCTGGGGCGACACCAGGATATTGTCGGGCGAGTTCTCGTGCACGAACTCATGGGGGCGGAGCTGTGAGGGTGTGGGCGGCAGCGCCTCCATGTACAGCGACTCCTCCTCCCGCAGAGTGGGCGTGCCCGGCACCTTGCTCGGCAACGTGGCATAGTTCACAGGCGGCGGCGGTGGCGATTCCCGCGGACGACTGGGCTTCGTCGTCGCCTTGGTCACCACCCGCACGGGCAGCTTGGCCTCCACGGGATGGATCGTATTCGTGCTGGCGTCGTGCTCGAAGACCGTAAAGTCGCCCTGACCCACATCGCTGGCCTGGAAGGTCTCCAGCGCCACGTTCCTCACCAGATCCGCCTTCTTGAGCTGCGGCTTCGGCGCCGTGGGCGGCGGTACCTTTGGACGGGTGCCAGTCAGGCTCTCGGTGGACTTGGAAATCACGGTGTTGGGTGTGCTGCGTCCACTGGACTGCGACTGGGACTGCTCCAGCAGATCCTCGCTGGATCGCGAGGAGCCAAAGAAGAACTGCTCCCGGGTAGAGCGTGGTGAGCGTGGCGACCTGCTCACAGCCTTGGCTATCCTCGTGTACTCATCATCCTCGGCTGCGGGATGGCGGAAAGGATTCTCCCGGTCCAATTCCCCAGGAGGATCCGGTGAAGTGGCTCGCGAGACGCGCTGCAGTTTGGGTGACTCCACGTCACGGATACGCGCCACCGCTGGCACAATGGGCTCTGGTTGGATGGAGCAGGGACTGGTGGCCCGCAGGATTCCCTTGCGGGGAAGGCGGTTCCTTCCACTGCCTCGGGTGTCCTGCTCCGAATCGTAAGCGCGTGTGTAACCATCGGGTGTCCTGGAGCGGGATCGCTCGTAATCCGATCTGGAACGCTCGTCGCCGCTAAGGTCGAAGCTCACGGACTTGCGATGTCCTCCGTATTCTGGGGTGCTGCGTCCCGATCTCGAGGGCTTGTACGGCCGGCAGTCACTCTCCGAGTCGCTGGTGTAGCGTCCACGCCGGCGGTCAAAGCAATCGGAATCGGTGTCTGCATAAGAAGGCGGCGATTGCAGGTCAAAGGGTGGAGAGCTCTCGGTATCCTCTTCCTCGTCCTCCTCCTGAATGGCATCAATGTCATCTAGCTTCTGGGAGTCCGCCTCATCATCATCATCATCATCGTCATCGTCTTCGTCTTCGTCATCTATGATGTAGACGGGCTCTGCCTTTTTGGGCTTCGACTGCTGGTTGGCTGCAGATTTTCCTGAGCTTCGGCTTTCCTCCTGGCTCTCCAGCATTTGCTGGTAGGAGTAGCGAGATCCCGGGGCCAGGCGGTCCGGTGTCTGAGTGCCTCGTTGCTAATGGAGTTTGAATTGTTGGTGGATTGCTCATTTAGTTCGGTATAGAATCGTTTTAGTTTTGGTGTTTTGTTTTTTGATTTTCAGGTGCAACGTCATCGCTCACAAGCTTGGAACACAAATTGCGGTGTGCAGCGTTAATGGTAAAGATTGTTGAGTGGAGTTTGATGTGATTAATGAGTGAAATGATTATTTGTGGGGTATTGTTGAAGTATTGGGGAAGTATTTTTAAAACAGTGAGTATGCATCGATGGTGAAGGGTGGGTGCACTAGAACGACACACACAAAAGTTGTACGCTTTTATTTGGTTTCGTTTTTGTTTTGTTTTTGGGTGCTCCTCTTTGCAACCTGCGTCCATTAGCCAATTACCAGTGATTTTCTGCTTGATGATGAGGTGAGTGACTGCGTCTTCGACTGCGACAGCGACTCTTCTGGCCAATTTGCTCGCTGATGGTTTTTGGGTTGGTGAACTCGACACACGATGATGGCAGTGCTTGATGATGGCGAAACAGCAGCGATACAAAACATATACAGAGAGAGATAGCGGGTACAGAGACGCACTAAGACGATTCACATCATGGCAAAGGAAAATAATGAAATCAAAGGAAACTTTTTTTGGAATGAAACTTCTGGGAGAGCAAAACTAAGAGTGGTCTCCCGAATTTCCCCCGAAAATGCAATTAAAAGTTTGCTCCATTTTTAGAGATTTTTTTCGTTTTTTTTTTTACGACAAATACATTAAGATTTATTGACATCAAAAATGCACACTTTGAATTCCATTTAGCTAATTTTAAATTTAACTATCCTTAGAAGGAGGGGGAAACACAAACGCGACTTGGAAATGTACTAACAATTCTGCTAATCAATGGGTAAGAAGCAAGGACATTCTAAGCTCTAGAATGGCTTAGATGGCTTACACATCTTGAGCTTTAGAAGGTCCTTGCTATTAATGTGTGTGATTTCAGTTTAACAGCTCAGTTGTGGTAACAGTTTAGTAGATACTTTAACAAAATATCCCCAGTGTAGGAATAGCTTGGCTCTTTCAAAAGGTGATATAACAAGACTCCTCTTCCATCTCCTCTCCTCTTGAGTATTATTCAGTTGCATAATTGGACCTTTTGTGTGTGCTTGCCACACGTTGTTACACATTTAGTAATATATAGTAGTGAGTGTGTCAGTGTCTATATAGTAAACAGTTTTGGTTTCGGTTTCACATAGTATAAACATCGAAAGACTATATGTATAAGTGGAGTACTTTCTGCCGCAAAATGGCGACAACTGCGCTTTGATAAATACATTTACACGTTCTTTATTCTTTTTGCTGCTGAGTGTTCTCAGTGGTTGTTCCTTTTGGGAATTGGTTGCTGTCGAGACTGAGGGACTGAGATCTAGTGAGAGACATTGAAACCGTTTTGCCGAGTCGAGTGCGTTTAGTTTTTTGATTGAATTTCGAGTGGGTTGGGGGAGATAGTAAACGCTGCCTAGTGCGGTTGGTAGTAACTCTTGGCCCTTTGAACACGCTCCTCGCTTTGCCTCCTCTTAGGTTTTCTGTATAAATTGCAACTCCTGCAGGACACTCGAGCGAGCAGCAGTCGTGTCCTGTCCTGTTGCTCTTGTATTCTGTTTTCCTGTCAGTTTAAACTAAATATTCAGTCTTATGCTGATAAACATCCGCTTGTTAAGCAGTAAGCTGCAATGAAATCGGTTGGGAAATCGGAAAAACGGGGGCCCGAAAACAATACGAAATTCGGAAAACAAACCAACAGATTGCAGAATGATTGAGAGAGAAAAAAAACGAAATAAAATAAGAGGAAAGGAAATCAACAAATTCGTTGAAAAGCGCGCACATTATTGAGGGAATTTACGGGGGGGATGAGAGAGAACGGGAACAAGAACAGAGAACAAGGACGAGAAGAAGATAAGAGAGACGTTTTAATGGAAATTTTCGTTTCTTTCTGCAGTTTTTGAATTATTTACATTTACATTTATTATACGTGCCATCTATACAGTGAGTACATGTTGTGTATGCCTGATTTCAGTCTCCCCCCCTTATGCCAGGTGGTACAGGTGGCTTTCAATGCAAATTCAAATGGGGCATGCTTTAAAGCCGACAAAGGCGGCCGCTTATATAAAACACAACAACATCAACAACAACAACAAACAACATCAATGTTAACAATAACAATAATAACAATGCCGCCCCGCCTACGCAAAAGGGGCAAAAGGTAGCAACAGTAAAGACGCAAACTGAAATGAATATAATATGAAAGTAGCATAAATAACAACGACAACAACAACAATGAAACTCAACAAGAACAATGGTCTGGCTCAGAGCGGAGGAGCCAGGAGCAGCACCAGCAGCAGCCAATATGCTAATAAATAATAAATTGTCTGCTGCCATATCAATAAATGCGAGGGAGCAGCTACACTACACAGCTACACTCCAGACCAAGGGCAGCTCAATTCTAAGCTAAGCCAACCCGACACAATCGCACACATGCACAGCACATAACTCATACGCCCCAGTGGCACAGCGGCCCACAAAGATAGGCAATGATTTTTTTCTTCTCTCTCGATTCATTTTTAATTCAAATGCAACAGAAAATGGCTTTAAGGCAGCAACAAAAGCAATCGATGAACAAGTGTTTCGTGGGGAATTTAGATATATGTGATGATTATTTCGGTTTTAGTTACAGTTTCGGGTGGGTTTAATGGTCTGTTTGGTGCTATCATGCTGCGCGATTTGTTTGCAAATTTCCAAACTGGAAACTGGCATCACATGTCAGAGATATCACAAGAGTTTTGTGACCTCTCTGTCTGTGGTTTTACGTGAGATGATGGGGGGATGGATACTGGTTCTGTTTTTGTATTTTTCGGTTTGTCATCTTTTTCGCCTCGTTCGTCGTAAATTATATTTGAAAATTTTGTGATACACTCATACACTCGTTCGCACGGGGACACGCAATGTCAGTGACAGGACAAAGGCATTAGTGAAGTTACACAAACACATAACAAGCTGAATGCGAAACAAAAATCAAGTTAAGAGATTGCGCTGGGTTTTGGGTTGAGTTTGAGTTTGTGTTCGAGTTTGGGGTGGCGACTGTCGGTTCGTGTTAGCGGTTACATGGGTGTATCCGAGTACCCGGGAACGAACACAAACGAATGCGAGATCGAAAGTTACGGATACAAAATACACACACAGAGAGATGTTAAAGCCATGACAGGACAGAAGACGTGCATCCAGTCAGGTGCTACATACCTGTGGGGCCTGCTCCTCGGCTTCGGCGTCTTCTCCCTCCTTCGTTTGCGTCTGCACGGCCACAGCGGCTACCTGGGCTGGAGCGGATGCCGACGGGGTCGCTGACTCTGCCGCCCCAATGGTTAAGGGGGCTGCCGGCGTCGTCGGGGTAGTTGGGTTCGTGTCGAGCGTGTGCTTCGATATAACCACCGTCGTCGTCTTCTGTATCTTGTCCTGTTCGGGGTGCTCCGATGGCGACTTTGGTGGCACGGTGGTGAAGGCATCAGCCGCGCGTACAATTTCCAGCACCTAATTTGCAAAGCGAAACAATTCACACAAACTGCCCACCAAGGTCGTGTGCACCGTCCACTCACCTTCTCCTGGGTGCTCTTCTCCTGGCCCAGCGGCGCCAGCTGGGCGTGGGCATGGGCCTGGGACTGAGCCTGTTCCGCGTGAATGAGCGCCACGGTCTGTGCGGCTGGCGTGTCCGGCGCTGCTAAATCAGCGGATGCCACTGGCGTGGGCAACGACGTGGGTGTGGGCGTGGGCGAGGTGGCTCCGCCGTGCACCAGGGCCGCAGCAGCTGCCAGGCCCGTTTGGCTCGTTGGCTGTGCATCTGGCTTCTGCGAGGCAAAAACGTCAAAGTCCTGAAGGGAAGTCGGGCGAATTTAAAGACCTGTTCGTGCGTCTCTTTAAATCCTGCACTCACCTGTCGCAGCCTCTCCTCCTCGTCGTGGTCCAGACTGGATATACTCTGGCTCTGGCTCAGCTCCGAGCCGGTCTCCGAGGCACGCGAGCCTGGGTCGGCGGGGGAGAAGGAAAAGAGTCAAAGACGTACAAGCGTTAAGCTGGGGATTACCTTACCTTGGCGACTGCCACCGCTGCAGGATGCAGACGAGTTGAAGCCAGTGCTCATGCCGCCGGCCTGGCCAATGGAATGAATTAAGTTGGACTTGTCGTAGCCTTTGCAGACCACCAATTGGATCTCGTTGCCGGCGTTGCGTAGCACACTGACCGCGTCCTGGTGTGAGGCGCCCAGCAGCGAGTGTCCATTGACCTCGAGGAGACGCATGCCCACCTGAACGCAGCAGGGAATGAAGTTCAGTTTCGATTAAATTCAATTTCCCCAAAGGCAGTGCCTGCTTACCTTAAGCCTTCCGTCCCGTCTGGCCGCTCCAACCGAGTTTATTTTGGACACGAACACACCCTCGTCGGAGGGATCGGCTGGATTACCGCGCTGCCCATTCAGGCCGCCCTTGATATGCATGCCCAGACGTTCGCCCTCCGCCTTGCTGAGGAGCACTTCCTGCGATTTGCAATTAACAAAGAGGAGAGAGAGTAGAAGGGAGAGGGAGAAATTAGCGAGGACTTGGCTCGAGAGCTGGCAAATAACAATCTGGATTGCAGCTGAACAAAGGCAGGAGAAACTCTAGGGAAACATAAACTGTGGAAGCATTTGACTAATTGGAATATTTCCTCCGCCAAAAGGACGAGAGGAGCCTTACCTCTGTTGTTACATAAACTACTTCTATGCTCTGTGCGTATCGAATTTGTGGCGAGCAGAGTGGCAAAGTGTACAAAGATTATATAGAGAGAGGAATCAGAAGTGGATCCAAAGCGTATATACATATTTACAGGCGCACTTAATCATATCAGGTTTAAAGGGGAAGCTTTGACTCACCTGGAAACCTGGCGGCAGGGGATCGTGCTGAATGGTCAGCTTGATCTCATCACCGGGCTTGAGCAGCTCCAGCACGGCATCCTGGTGGGTGGCCTTGGACACATCCGCATCGTTGACTTTCAGTATGCGATCTCCCATGCGCAGCTTGCCGCACTTCGAGGCAATCCCGCCGGGCACAATCTGCCAGAATAAAAGGGTAGAAGCAACCCCCAAGGGTAATTGTTATACTTGTAGATGAAGGCTGGCCAAAAAACTTGAAACTTTCAAGTTGGCAGCCGGCAGCCACCGTCCGAGCCACTAGATTCTGCACAATTGTGCAGCAGCTCATTTGCATCGGCCACTCGAGTGTTTTAATTCAAAAAGTTTTTACAGCTACCCCTACTTACATGCGATATGAAAATGCCAGGCTCTCGACTGCCAAAGGGCACGCAGGAATGATCCGTGCCGCCGATGATGCTGAAGCCCAGGGAGCCCTGGTTCTTGGGCAGGACAACCTCCTGAAGAGGGGAGCGAAGAAATGGTGTTAGCACATCACAAAATTAACACACTCAATGGGGCCTAAGCTCTAGGTATCCTACTGAGAGACTGCCGTCGTGTGGGGTGAGTGAACCATGGATGAAGTGTGCTCAGGTGCAAAATTGTTGGTGATATTTACATTTACAATTACATATACTACAAACATTCACACACACAGAATCCAACCGAAACCAAAACCGAACAAAGCCATGCAATTAAGTTGAAGGAGCATTCATTAAACATCAAATACCAGGACACAGGGGGTGATACATTCAATAAATAATTAATAACTTTTATGATTTTTCTTATGAATAACTTAATTTTAAATTAAACCAGGCAAGAGGGAGGGGAAACTTTAAACCAAAATATTCCTGCTCTTCAGGCACTTTCAGAGAGGTTTAAACAAAGCTCCTGCTTGTGGTGCTTGTGGCCAACATCAAAGCATAATGCTTCAGCTTCTGCCTTATATATTCATAGTCGAGAGGAGAAACTATAGCTGGCTGACTGACTCGTGTCAAGATGCCAAATAAACACATGCACCTGGGCTGCCAAACTACTGAAAACTTTTACCAATTATCTTGAAGCAATTCAATTGCCGAAAGTTCGAAGCCATCGAAGGCAGTGAGGGGTGGAAATAAATTAAAAACAATTAAATATTTTATTTAGCATGCCCCGGAGAGTGTTTACACTCGCAATCAGAGACTGTGATGGCAAACAGAAATATTTAAAGTTTACTTAAGGCCTCACTGCGCACACACAAGGCAAGTCGGGAGAGCTCTCTGAGTCATTTGGGGTTAAATCTTTTTCTGGTCTTCACTCCTTGCTGTTGGCCCACTTTATTATTTAAGGATCTCTGCATGTTGCATAGCCTTGGCTGGTTTACTGATATATATAATATATATGTATATGTATTTATGCTGCTGCAGCAGAGTTTCGGAGATTTCTGGCCGGGATTTGCCTCATGTCAGCGATGACACTTGAGTGGCTCTATGGAGGCGAGTGTGCCAAAGCGTTCTGAAAGCGCTTTGCTCGTCACTTGAATAGATTTCAGATACCACCAAAGGACACTAAAAATGCAAGTGTTTTTAAAAGATAATATTCCCATTACTTTAAGTGTTAAATTATCAGCAAAACAAACATAAACCAGGAGATTTTTGGCAGATAGAGAAAGTTATATATATATTTATCCAGTGTTAGTATATCTTTCAGTTAAAAAAAAGTTAGCTTAAAACAGTAAAGAGTGGATTCCACGGGGTTTAATTTAAAACTTTATAATGACAAGATGAGTAACGTCATAATTTTCCTCAGGAATATTTCTTCCCTTGAAATAATTTAAAAGGTGGGGAAAACCAGGCAATTGCTGCGATTTAAAATGTATGGTCGTTACTCATCTTGTTATTTTAAAGTCTTCAGTTTAATTATAGTTTCCAAAGCCTTCTCCTTATCCAAACTTAAGCCAAAGCCATCCCAAACTGCTAATCAATTAGTCGAAGCCATCACAACCTCTTGTCAAATGTGCATGTTTTGCATAATGCTCGGCATGAAACATGGGTGAGAACTCGGCGGCCTCCTCACATCGCTAGGAGCCTCTGTGGGGCCTCCTGACCAGCAGTTAAATCAAATCGTTTGCAAAACGCACCAAATATTTATTCAGCAAATGCGACCAATAATTATCAAAGTGCCAATAGCGAAAAAAAATGTATAAATTAAATTTAAACTAAAAAATTTTGGTGTTGGGTGCATCGAGGGTGTACGGTGTACGGTGTGCGTGCTTGGTGTGTGACGAGAAAAGCTCGATTTCCTTGGGCAGATTTACAGGGTCTTATATTGTATTTTTTTTTACACAAAAATAGTTTCTTTTTTAGTGTCCGGGCTTCTGTGTGCCTTGGCTTTTTACAGAACGATTCGTTAACGCTGGGGACTCTGGCTCTTAGTGTATGCGTGATGTCGAGATAGTCACCTCACTGATTAGGGGCTCCGCCAACTGATTGTCGGTGATGCGCGTCATCACCGTCTCCGTGAACGTGGACTTGGTGATCGTCTCGGTGACACGGCCAAGCTCGGTGGGTGCCGCCGGGAACATGGGCAGATCCGGCTGCGGCTTATTCACATTCACCGTGACGGCGCTCACGCCCACCTCGTTGGGCCGGGCCACGTGCACCTGATGCTGACTGCCGCCGCTGAGGAAGTGGGCCGGAATCATCGCCTGAAAATCGTCGCTGGTCAGCGGGCGCAACGAGGAGGGCTGCTCATGGTGCGGCGGTTTTCACGTAGTTTTTTTTTTTTAGCAAAATTTGTTTTTTTCGGAAAGATCGGTTTTAAGCAAGGTTTGGTTTTTTTGGGGGAGATGGTTGGTTGAGTGGTTCAGAGAGAAAAAGAAAACGAAAAAATATGTTGGTTTTTGTAAATTTTGGTTACACTTTTTGAGGCGCTAAATGAAAAGCTATTGTTAGATCTATGACTAAGCTAATAACTCTAATATTTATGTACAATCCTGCTGGGAACTCTGGCCTAAATCATCCTTGATGGGTGCTCAAAAGCTGGGGACATGGATCTCAGTGCAAACTTAGACTCTATCGAATATATATTGTATATATATGATATATAAATATATCATGTTTTGTAGAATGATTGTGGCATTTGGAAGAAAGGGACGAACAAGGCGCACAGGGCACATGCAAAACAAACACAAACAATTTCGTTATACATACGAGTAGATGAGCTATGTTTATAATATATAGTTCTAGCGGCTAGGGTTATGGGTAGTCGATAATCTGGCGGAGATATGGATTAGCACATATTAGGTATCTTATAGCTAGTAAAAGTGTGTTTATGTTTTTCTAGCTTGCCAAATATCAACAACAATTTGCTGGGACAACTTGCGCTGTAGTTTTACTTGAAATTTTCAATTAAATTTGGTTACTTACCTTTTGATCTAATAAGAAAAATATAAAAGACATACAGCGCAAGCTTAAACATTTTGAAAACCTAACAACTGATCATGATTGTAACAAAAACAAAAAGGTAACGAGTATCGAGCTTATGGGCAACATTAATATGACGTGCAAACTGGCTAAAAGTAAGTCTAGGCTAACTAGCTACCGGTTAGGAAAGCCCTTACCTGAGCCTCGCCCGAATCACCGCTGGCCGTGGAGGCCGCTGCATCGCTACCCTCGCCCATGGGCACAGAGTTGGTGCGTCTAGGAGCGGGCACTGGCTGCCCGGTGGCTTTGTCTATCGTGGCAGCAGCTGGGAATCCATTTGTTTTGCTGCTGGGCAGCGTATTATTGTTGCTATTGCTGCTGCTGCTGACAACAGTGGGTGCAGTGGGTGTGGCAGTGCTGGTAGCCAGGGTATTGTACTTGTAGGGCTGCTCGACTTGCTCGGTCACTGAACGGCCAAAGTTGGCTAAGGAAATTGAAACAGAGGAAAAACCTTAAGTTATTCAGGGAAATTTCTAACAACTAAAATTGTATCAAGACTTTAAAAATTTAAAAAATTAATAAATAAAAATTATAAATAAGTTTTAAGTAGCTAGACTAGACTCTTCTCTTATTCCTCCATACCCACCTGGTCGATTGGCCAAATATCCAGAGGGACTCAACGAATTAAGCACTGCTGGGCTACGCGGACTCGTCGGCGGCTCCAGGGGGCCGCGGTACTCACGCTGCAGCACCAGGCGCACAAAGCGCTGCGGTTCCGTCAGACAGGCCACTGCGGCATCATGATGCGCTTCCGTCATATCGTTGCCGTTAATCTGTACAACGAAATGCCATTAGCCACCGCCCTTCTGCCCTGCCACGCCTCCCACTACTACTACTACTCACCGCCATGACCCTGTCGCCCACCATGATTTTGCCATCGCGATGGGCCAGACCGCCCTCGGTGATGCGCGATATGAAAATGCCATCGCAGTCGTCCTTGAAAGGCGGCGAGCCCTTGCCGCCCGCAATGCTGAAGCCCAGGCCTTGGCCAATCTGATCGCGGATGAGCGTCGTGTGCAGTTGGATGAAGCTCAGCGGCGCCTCCTGCAAAACCGCAAATGGGGGAAGAGAAAACCAGAAATCAATCAAACACGGTCCGAGTGAAATGTCATTGCTGGGTTATGGTTACCCACCTTGCCATTTAGCAGCAAACCATTGGGAGCTGCTGCTGCTGCTACTGCAGGCTCTGCAATTTGGTTGGCCGTGGGCGTGGCAAACACATTGCCCGAATAGCTGTGCGTGGGTGCCACTTGCTGCTGTGGAATAGGTTGTGGCTGCTGCTGCGGAATATGTTGAGGCTGCAGCTGCTGCTGCTGCTGTTCAATGTGTGTCGGGATGTAGCGCTCCTCCGCCACCAGTGGTCGCGTCTCTACTGAAATCTGCGACACACTGCCATCCTCGCTGAACACGGGATGTCCAATCAGTCGCGTCACCTCACGCTGCACCACCAAAACCAAGACAGCACCGCAGGCTTTTAGGACTTGAACAGCCTGGTAATGATCCGCATCGACCACAACAATGCCATTGACCTTGATCACCTTGTCGCCCACTTTGAGCCCGGCCAGATCAGCGGGTCCGGCCTCGGTGACCCTGGATATAAAGATGCCGTCATCGTCGCCCTTGAAGGGGGTAGAGCCCTTGCCACCGGCAATACTGAGGCCCAGACCGGCGGCCGTGCGTTCGATGTGGATTTCGTACTGCTCCAAGCGGAGTTCCGTGACGCCATCTAAATTATCTGGAAAAAGAAAGAGTAAATTATATTTAAAATGGGATTCCTGAAAGAGATTCTTGTATGTTTTCTCTGCCCTTTACCATAATGCTGCCTCTGCCTCTCATAATCCCGATCCACCGGATCGTAGCTGGTTACTATGCGCACTCTTTTGCCCTTGCGCTGCAGGGAGCCACTGGGACTCCGGTTGGAGGAGGCCAGCGAGCTGCGCAGGCTGCTCATGGCGGGACTGTTGCGTCCCGAGTAGCTAAAGTTGCCATTGCCATTGCTGCGCTGGCCATTGCGGGGCAGGGTATTGTTGCCCTCCTTGACTTTGATTTTGACATTGAACATGGCTCGAAATCTATTCGTTTGTTGTGTTTATTTATTTGAGTGCACTTTTTAATATAGGCGGCAGCAGCCAGGCATCTTGTCCTGTCCAGACACCCTGCGTGTGTGTGTGTAACCTATTTTTTATTTGACTGCACTTTTTAATATGCGAAGAGCCAACTTTGCCTGCCTGCCTGTTGTCTGTCTGCAGAAGCGCATCGATCTGGATGTGGGTTCTGCCTCTAGAGAAAGCCTTAGTTCATTCGACTGGAAAACCCCATCAATGCAATATCATCAGTGAAATTATACTATTACAATTTTTGATTGCCTTGATTTAATGAAATTTTAAACAGGAGGCAAGGGAGATTTCCAAAAACAAAAAGAAGACCTGTACTTGTGCTCAGCATAAATTTCGCTTTAATGACATTCAAATTGAATGACCCAAAGTTGGCCAACATCTGGCAGTTGGCCATAAACGGCAGTCAATGAACCGCTACAAAAGCCATATTCCCCTGACTAGAAACTGGCATTAAGGCAACGACCTTGGTGGAACATCTCCCGACAGAGTTTGTATAATTATTAAATAAATAAACAGACAGTCTGCCAGTCAGAGCCAGAGAGAACTCTCCCAGACATCCCTCAGGTGCCCAGAGGTGGAGGAGAAGAAGCAGGTGGCACACAAAAGCAGAGATGAGTACCAGCAGCAGCCAGAGGAAAACACATTTATTGCTTTCATTTTCGCTATTGCTGATTTGCACTCAATAAATCCGTCGGCACTTTGGCCAACAAAATGATTTTGTTTTCAAGACTATCAGGGAGAGAAGAGGAAAGGACGCTCTCGAGACAATTTCACTTTGTAATTGTATGAGAGGCTTCATGTTAATCAAGGCATAAATGAAGAAAAGACAGAGCGAATCCCTGGCTCCTCCCAGCCTCCCCGCCTGCCTGTCAAGTCAACATTAATATTGCTGGATTTCAGTCGCTGGCCCGACATTGGCATTCACTCGATGTGCCATTATTGAGTTTGCCAAGTTGAGTGAGGTATTCACAAATTTGAATTGCTTTTGCTTGCTTACAGTTCGGCTCAAGTTAGTCTTGTGTTCTCTTGGCTAGGTGTTGTTCTGGTTAAATGTTTCAAGTACAAACAGTTTGATTCTCTCGATTGTTGGACAAATTTCTAAACGAAAGACATTTTTTTATGGGTATTTCCTTCGCCCACACAAGCACAAATGCAGGCCGGAATAAAGCCATATTTCTGGATGGGCAAAACGAAAGCCCATAAAACAAAATAAGATTTTTTCCCCCGAATGACACGTGCTGTGTGTTCGCTGCGTGTGTCTGTGCTTTTTTATTCCGCTTTGGCTGCTCCGGAATGTAGGCAATATTTTGGAGCAACTGCAGGGAATATCGCATAAAGTCATTTGTTCCCTTTCCATATTTTTGTTATCTGTATTATTTCACTGATTGCCAGGGCAAACTTGCACCCACTTAAGCGGACATTTAAGCATTTTACGACGACATCACGGGAAAACGCGAGCAGCTCAATGAGGTGAGCCCTAAATAAGGCCATCGTTGTTGTCCTCACCGTAAAATAAATGGCATAAGCATAAGCATAAACATATAAAAATTTAAATACATCGAAATACAGGGGCCAAAGGGCCCCGTCGTAAAACGGAGGTGGCAATTCGAAATGATGGTTCCAAGAATGCATTAGCATTCGCATTGGCATAAGGTTCAGGTTCGGGTTCGTAGATATAACCCTGAATCTCGAAGCTGACAAATGCCAAATCAATGCCCAGACAGTTGCTTCAAGCTCTCCTTTTTTGTTTTCTTTTTTTGTCATTTATATGTAAATGACCTGCAGGAGGAGAAATTAGCCCACAGCATGGACACATGCCAAGGGCAGAAAATCATATTTCATTCTTTGGGATGCTATTTCTTTTACCCTACAACTTTGGCCAAGTTGTGGGTTCTAGCAACTGACACATTCGTTATGACGAGTGAAAAAACTTTCTTATCCATTTATGAAAATTCCCTCGGTTTCCACAACCAATAACGAAACGTGTTCAATCGATTTTAATTACCCCCACATTATCAATGGCCAGAGATCAAGTATTAAAGCTTAAATCGGTCTGAAACCCTTTTTCTGAAATGTGAGCTGCATACCCTTTTTTTTGTCGGTTTAAAAAAATGCCACAGTTATGGAAAAACTGGAAGGCTGCGTGATTAATTGCTTGCCAGGTTAAACGTTGCCGCTGCTGACAAATTGCAAGTGTTAAGCTTTGGAAATCAACAAAACCGACCGAACTGCGATGGCTCCCGCTTAAATGTGGCGACAAAAATTAATGAACAAAGTTTTTTATGGCGAAAGCATAAAAACCCATGAAATATTCCGGACAACAACGGCGCACTAAGCTCCCTGCCCTGATGATGGTAGCTTCTCCGGAGCAGAGATTCTGGTTGGAAAGGGGTGACGTTCACAACACTTGCTATCTAATCGAACTTTTGGAATGCATAAGCCGAATGTGATAAGGTCCAAAACAACGACGAGGGGAAAAATAACAAAGCGAACGTAGTAAAACAAACTGGCGATAAGGCAAAAGGGAGGAGAACTCTGATTCATTACGAAATTTTACGAATTTTGGAAACATTACAATCCAGTCCAGCAGCAAAGTCAAGTGGTAGGTAATGACCTTGGTCCACCTGTCGTATGCGTTATTTCCTACATGGCGCATATCAGTGAAAAGCAAGTGGGTTCGCGCATAGGTGATTAATCGGTTTATAACCAAAACGAACGGTGATATCATGGACGTTGAACAACGTTTTGGTAATGAAAACCGCGCGCCCTGCTCATTTTGATTGCATTAAAAGCCAGTCAGCAAGTCGGTGGCAAACAATTCAGGTCGCATTCCCCCGCTTCAGAGTGTTTGCTGCTGCCACTGTTTTCCCCGACAATTACTCGAATTTTCCACATTTCCATGCTATCAACATGGCGTCGGCAGTGGCAGTGGCGGCGACGGCGACAACGAAAATATTGGAAAATACGCAGTGAAATTCTTTGACCCAAGCCTCGCTTGCTGGCTCTCCTCGTTGCAGCTGCAGCTGGCGTTTATTGCATTTTTGTTTGTTTTCTCGCAGAGATGGGGAGACCATGGGTTATGGGGGGAAAACTGTCACGAGTGAGCGAGGGAGAGTGGCGCGGTTTTAGGCGATAAACTTAGCATGCAACTGTGAAAAGCACAAGGGCGGGCCACGGTTCAGGGTTATTCCATACGGAAAACTTAAACATTTGGCCAGCCAAAATCGTGTTTGTTTGATGATAGAAAGAATGCCGACTGCCGACTGCAAATAGTTTAAATTGCTGTTTGCACAAGAGCTGCGAGCTGTGAGCTGCAAGAGAACAGCAAATAATAATGCAAACTCCGTTGCACTGAGTGATGAAAGGGCGCACCGAGCAAACAAGCCGGCAAACAACAATCATACAGCACACACCCAACACTCACCACACACACACACACACACATTCGTGGGAATCAAACACACACGCAACATACGGACGGGCAAAAATTCAATAAGAATCCCATGCAATCAACGATACAATACATAAATAATGGATGCCATTGCCTTGAGCTTATCAACGGTTTATTTATTGGCCAACATACATTGGTCGACTCGGAATCGGAATCGGTATTGGAATCTTTTCAGTTGCGACTACTTTAAGAGAGAACCCTCAAGAAAATGTGCATCAGATGCAGCTAGGAATGCTACAAAAAGTGCGAGGAATGTCAAAGGAATTGTGCAAATGTTGATTGTATTGCCAATATCTAACCAGAACCAGAAAAATCCAAGCAAAGCAAAGGCCAAGGAAGTGCCGGGTAACCGGATATGCACACAGCCGTACCGAAGCGAAGCGAAGCACTTTTCCTGTTTGCCATCTGCAAATATCCAACAGAACCCGGCAATGCTTGGCTATATAAACAAGACTAAATTTACTTTCAAGTAGCTCATTTTCGGGGGTATATGCACATGCAGCCGAAATGCAAATAGGGAAGCCTCCTTCTCCTGCGCAACCTTGAGCTGCCTGAGGCTTTGACAGAATATAGAACTGCAGCTGAAGCTCAATTATGGGCCCCGAGGCCATACGCTGCGTATGCGCAATGTGAGAAACTTTCCAGACGACTGACCCGCTGCCACCTGCCTCCACAGCCGTTAAGGCATTATGACAGACAACAGAGGCTAAAATCGATAACAGACAACAATAAACACGTAGGCAGAAAGAACAAAAAAAAGGCTAAAGAAAAAAACATTTCACACTCTCTACTCCGAGAAAAAGTATTTAACAATGAGATGTTTTTTTTCCTACAGCCTCTGCCGAAATGAAATTGGAAGTTTTGCTCTCTCTCTGTTTTGAATTCCAATAAAAAACAGAAGTGGGCGATAATAAATAAGCCAAGTAGTACGGTGACGAATGCTGTTGCGCGTCTCTCGCGACGTTGACAAAACGCAAGCGTAACTGAAGAATGACTAAAGCAGGCGCCGAGTGGGCCAGGCGATGAGACCCGGTCGCCCAGTCTGGCAATTGCACTCGCTCCCGCTCTCGGGTTCACTCTCACTCTCCCTCACTCTGCCAGGTAGCTCTAATGAGTCTCCTCACCAATTCAGTTTCATTTGCACGTCTCTCGTTCTGCGCTCTTTGCTTGTTTACCTTTTTTTTTTTGAGTGAGGTTTGCAGAGTATCTTTACCACTATCGGTGGTATCTGCTCGCTCGCTTTTATCAGCTTTTGCAAGCCCAATGGGCAGATATCGCTGGCTGATAAGCGAGCACCACTATACGTGCATTACCTATTTATAGGCCAAGTTTGTACGCCTGTTGCGTGTGTGTTTCACAAGCTCAGCGCGGTTTCTACACCTGTATTCCGCTGGCGTAATCACAGGGCAGTGCTGCTCGCTTTTATGTTGGAATTTTTGATGTTTTTTTTTTTAATTTAAAGTATCAGTATTGGAGTTTTCAATAAGTTCAGCTAATTTCTCTTACTTTAAAGTATAATTAAGTGGCTGTAAATTATATTTAAATGCAGTAATCTTCAAGTATTTATAGATTACGCGTCAAAGTTTCACATTTTAATTGGATTTTTATATTTCTTTTCACATTTTATGTATTTATCCCATACATTAGCTTTGAATATATTCGATTTAGCTATTTTTTCTAGCAACACTATAGCCGGTAAGCACTCTCTTCCTCTCTACCTGCCTCTTAATCTCTGTTGTGTTTTTTACTTAACCTTTTTTTGTTATTTGTTGATATAATTATATCGGAAGTGAGCAGCTCAGTGCTGGGCCTAGACCCAAAAAAAGCACTCGAATGTATGTATTTATGCATAGATGGCGTGCTGAGAGCAGCAACAATTAAAAGGGGTCATGGGTGGTCTCGGCCAGGGCTCTTTGTGGTTTCACTTTGCAGCCAATGGGCCAGGCGGACGGGCAAAGATGCCAATTAAATTTCCACTTCAATGTCTGCCCTTACAGGTCAGCCCAGCCAAATGAGTGAAAATTACTATCGATTTGCCATCAATGCAGGCGGGCGGCCATGATGCTGCACCCAGAGCACTCCCACGACAGGGCACAGCAAATATAAATTTAGTTAATTGAAACAATTTTGCGTGTATTTACCTTGCTCAGTGCCGGCGGCTTCCGCTTTGCCGGCTGGAATGGGCGAGAGCGATGCATCAAAGGGTTGCTGCTTCTGTTGGTCCTGCTCCCCCTCCAGTTCCAGGTGCTCCTCCTCCTCGATGGGCGACTGCACTTTGCCGGACAGCGAGTGCTGCGGCGTGGCATCGTTGCGCTCTTGGGAGGCCAGAGCGTTGGCCAGAATCTCGCTGGCCTGCTTGTCGGTTAAATGCTGCACACGCTTGTTCTTCAGATGATGCGGAGTGTCCCTAAAGGAGATTAGAAACGGAAAATTAAGCTCTGGGGAGAGCCTAATGGGGGACTAATTGGGCTTACCTTCTGTGCAATTTGGGTGGCCGCTTGTAGAAGTCATCGTCTTCGCCCTCCACCTGAAAGCCCACACGGCGATCGGATTCCTGTGGGAAATAAGGAAAGAAATTAGTAAATAAATCCTTAAAATGTATAATTTTCAAACTTACAAACTCGTCTTCCTGCTCATCATCATCCTGAGGCTCTTCGGTGGCGGAAGTAGTGGCCACAGCGGCTGTTAACTCAGCCACAACCGCTGCTGTGGCTGCCTTTACGTTGTTGGATGCCGCCTCCGAGGCACCCTGTATGGTTGCTGGAGCTGCTGTCGTTGTTGTTGGTGTAACAACACCCACCACCGCTGGCTGCTTGGAGTTTACACCAACAGCTGGTTGCTGAACTGGCTGAGCCTGCTGTTGGTGATTGTTCACCAGCGTTCGGGTCTCGGTTGGTGCCTCCGCTATTCTGGTGCCATTCTATGGTAAAACGGGGAAATTTTTTTTAGGTATCTAACAGATATTTTACATTTTACAGATACTTTACAAGAAATTTAAGTAAAATCATGCAATTTTTAATATAAAATATTTTAAAAAAGAACATTTTTTAAATTTATAAACCAAAAAATAATGGGAAAAATGTTAAAACTATTCAGAATTTAAAAACTCGCTACTTTAAAATAGATTTTCCTAGTTAGATATAAAAAGTATCTTTACAATTTCTAGATAACTAAATATTTAACCCCTAAAACTACCAAAATCATAGCTTTTCCTATTCATTAACTATCCAATACCCTTTCCCAGTTAGACCTTTACAATTTCCTAAAACTCTCAAGCCGTCAAGACCTCAAGTTTGCTTAACTCTAGGATTAGTATTGAGCCAAAGAAGCACAACAAAGACATAGCAAGGCAAGCGTATATATACGTATATTTTCATAGGAGTGGCTTTTGCCTTTACCGCCACCTTCACCGCCTAGCGATGGAAACACAGAAGAAGCATGGCATTGGGATCGCCTCCACTCACCTCCTCCGGCAAAGCCACCAGGTTGGCGTGCTCCTCATGCCGGCTGCGCTCCACCTTCAGCTTCTGGGCCTTGGCCTTGAGATCCTTGGGATGCGGCGTATTCTGGCGCACGAAGGGCGTGTCTTTCTCCTGGCTGGCATCCTCCGAGAACTTGACCACGGTGCGCGAAGGCTCGCGCTCCTCGAACGGCTCCGAATCAGACTCCAGATCGCGGGCTATTTTTGGTAACAAAATCAAGAGGAATTCCATTAGCAAACAAATCGTAGAGAGAGAGAGGATGGGGTAGGTGGCTTTGAAATGGTCTCAGTTATCAGGAACTGCATGCTCATGCTCAGCACAAACACTTACTACTACAATATAGTATGAGGAATATGTATGTAAACAAGGCTATTTATTATATACAAACACAGATTTATATTCAAAACGCCTAATGGTCTACGGTTTCGTTTCGGTTTTTGCAAAAATCAATAAATAAACCGCCTATTAAAAGCCCCGAAAGCGAACCACTATTTTTGGGCGCCGTCCCGTAAACATTCTGGCCAGGTCTGCCCGGCCCTGGCGGTGTGGTCCACTTGCTAATCCATCAGCCGCTTATGAGAAGTGTGTGCGAGGCCCGTAAATATTTCGCACCGCGCGTGTAAACAACATAAAAGTTGCAGCATGTGGGGGCAATCAGTGGACTCAGATTTGAATTTAGATCTTCCCCCTTCCCTCTAGCCAATCAATCTATCTACGCAGCAATTGCAGGAGGTGCTGATGGGTGGCAGTTACAGCAATAAACAAATGCAAATCGCCGGGAGGAAGTGCCCCCACCAAGTAGCTGCATCCACAATTGCCGAATGTCCGGCCCAGAACAGTCGTAACTTACAAACGTTACCGCCCAGCGGGGCGTCCCCGAGATCTAGGAAACTCTAGGCATTCTTTGCCCGGGGTCAGCCGAGATAAAGATTTATGCAAATGGAATAAACTGGCGGCCGGACGACTTGTAAAAATAATAATAACAACGCAGCCAAGTCGTGGGGTGCTGTCAAATTTATTTCCTCTTGTTTTCTCGGCGCTCTCAGCCCCATGACTTTGTCTTTAATTGGATAATTTGAACGCTGCTTACACGGCTCTAAAATATTATGGAGACGAAAAAAACAATGAGTAGGTCTGGGCCCCGTAGCTCTATTTGATCTTGAAACTATTCACACATTCGTCTAAATTGGCTGAGCTATGTGTGTGCTTTGTGTACACTTAATCCGTCACTGACCATTGATCGCTTGCGAAATGATAACTCAAACACGTCGCAGTTGGTTCTCCAAATGGACTGATGATATAATCTATTTATAGGCAAAACTAAGAGGCCAAAACGAGTTTGGAAGCCGAATAACAGTTACAATATATCTCTACTTATACATTCATTTCGATTGGGAAGCAACTACGCCACAGAACTACGAATAGAGCAGCAGCCACAATAGCAGCAGCAACATCATCATTCCCAACAAAACGACAAATACAGGTTGAATCAGGCGGCGGGCACTCACTCAATCAACGAATGTCACACAGTGGAGACCGAAGAAAAAAGACTGGACAGTCGAAAACAACAAACTAAAAACTCATTTGCATAAAGTTTAAATTTATTTTAAGCTAGGATATCATGGGATTACTATTCTATATAAAAAGTGAATTTTTTGAGGGATCAATCTGCCTCCGAAAGGTTTGATTTAAAAATCTACAAAAGACACACATAACAATCTATTACAGAAATATTATATTTAAGTACATTGCTAGGTAATTATATTTAGAAATTGATTTATAACAATATCTAAACTAAACCAATTAAATCTCTTTCTAAGCATAATAATTACTAGCTCTCCATGAATCCTCTTAAGATTTTCCATTCATTTCGTTTCCATTTGAATGCTTTATAAACATTTCTCTGTAATTTGCATGACGTTAAGGTGATTAATCATGAATCTCAAGCAACAAAGCAAACACATATTGATAAATTTTTTAAATAAAACCAATTAAAATTATAACAACGTTTGGAGGAAAGCCAAAGCCAAAAAAATACCTCTTACTCTTAATAACAAGGACATTATTTATACCAACTCCTACAGGTTTCTTAGATTCGTTGCTAAACCAGTCTCCACTGTAGTCCCCTGTGACAGGTCATTAATCAACCGTTAGTTTTGGTGGCACATACAACATTGAAGCGAGCCAGGCGATTAATATTATTAACCCAAAGCAGCGTCATACATCTAATTACAACGCTTGCCGATCTTGCCCCACTTTCAAACCGCTGCTGTCACGCCCCTTTCCCATTATGACGTCACAAGCGTTGACATCACTCAAGTGCCCCTAGTGGGAAGGAATATGTGCGCGGCAGGCTTGCTGCAGTATGAAAGATAAATGGAAATGGATCTTGGCAGATTCCTGCCAGCAACAAACAAATCGTTTGTGCGTCTGGGGGCCGCTTTGATCTGGCATGCTGCCACTGACAGGCGGCAGCTAGAAGCGCTCAATCCGGGGGCATGAGATACCCATCACTGGCCACTCCCCAAGTGGCTCCCGATTCCTATTCCATTTTGTGGGTGGTGGTGGTGTGGGGAACACGCATAAAACGGCACTGATCTGCGATGGGAAACACGCATGGGAATGGAATATAAACACAAAATAATAGCATAATCAAATCAAACAAGCCAAATCGAACACACATATCCACAATTTATCAGCCATCGCAATACATTTGTATGAATAAATATATGGTATATGTGTGGTATATGTTATAGTGTATTCATGTTTCTCAGCCAGCCAACGCCCGGAGACCTGAGAGACACCCAGATAAAACAACTTGTTGTCATGACGTCATTGGCGGGCTGGCGTTGTGGTAAACCGGTTAGTGTTTTCGTTTCGAACACCCAAACTAAAAAACAGGCATTGTCAATGCTGCTGCCTAACTGACTAGCTTTTGACCAGGCCAAGAGATGCGTTTAAAAACCAAAAAGCAAGATGAAAAGCATCTTCTAAGAGGTCCAGAACGAACCGAGTCTATTTGTGGTTAAATGTCAAAGGGAAACAGTTGCGACAAAACTAATAAATAAAGTTAATTGGAATTTAATGCTGTAATATATTAATTTAATGGGTTCTTTCTCGGTTTTATTTTAAAGGAAATTATTATTCACTGAATGCATACTTGGGAATTATAAGTCCACTTTAGCATAAGAAGGAATTTTTCACCAACTCCTCATTCTCACCAACGCATGCTGTTGGAATTTCCGCATAGGGAATTTCTTTATTACAACTGAATCCTCCCGTTTATATTGTTGTTTATTTTGTTAATTAAATATTTTAAATGTAAATGCATTTATACAAATGTAATGCTGTATTTAATCACTTGTCTAATCATTATATTTAATAATATACATTTTTCATAACAAAAGCAGACATGCAAATGTTGAGGCGTTCATGCTATGAGTCGAAGGCGAGCCAATACAGTAGAGTCCAAGCTCAAACAATTTTAATTTCAATGATTTTGGTATCTGGGAGTGTCAAGTCCCGGCGAGAACTAATAGTTTCACAAACTGCGAACTCGAACATCTCTACTATATGGACTGTTTTAGCTGTACAAGGCGTGATGGCGTGTGTATTGTTATTAATACTGACAAAGAAGGTAATACTCAACGCAAACCTTTTTGCTGATAACTGAAGAATTCCGTCGAATCGAATTTTTCGCTCGATCTATAAAGCGTCATGGGTGGATAGTCTTTGATGGGAATGAAAATATAAAAGAAGGGTGACAAGGGCGGGTGCAATGGTCGAAGGAGCGCGTGACGTGGTAGAATGCAAAGAAAATAATGGAAATCAGTATGACATAATTGTGGAAACAGTGCCCTTGCCGAAGCAAAATATAGATTTAGTCACATTTAATAGGTGGAAACTTGCTTGGAGGAGAACATTGAAATATATAATTGAAAAATCTTGCCAGTTTTGTGTATAATTTTTTCACCCACAAAGATAGGGAAAACAAAACTCTGATAGCCGCTCGCTTGTTGGCGATGTTTGCTCACTTGGCTCACTTTGGCGGCTTATCTTATCGCGGAAATGCGAGCATAGATTCAAGATATTGCACAACGATAGGAGGGGCAGGAGGAGTAGGAGGAGGAGGAGGGCTGGTGGAATCTATGTCAGGTGCAGATAAGGCCGCATAACTTGGCCAAATTCGGCCCAGCGAGCAATCAGCACCAACTGTGGAGCAACCTTTAACCACTGGGCTAAACCCCCGAATGACTCCGCTGACTCATCCACACTCACCTGGTGTAATGGGCTGATATTCCTGCTGGGGCAACAGGTAACAGGACAGCACCTGCTCGCCCGTCTCCGCATCCACGTCCGGCTGGAAGGTGAGCAGCGGCTGCGACTGATTCTCCGACAACCACACGGCCTTCAGCTGCAGATTCACCAGAGAGTAGGGCAGATACAGCAGCTGATTCCCGCTCACGTCGAGCACATGGAGGACAGTGCAGTTGCCCAGCTCTGGGGGCAGCTTCTTCAGCTTGTTGTCGCGCAGACTGAGCACGCCCAGATTGGCACACTGGCCAATCTCCAGGGGCAGGTACTCCAGGGCATTGCGATCCACATTCAGATTGCTTAGCTTGGTCATCTGGCCAATGGAGGCCGGCAGCTCGGACAGGAAATTCTCGGTGAGTATCAGCTCCTGCATGTTCACGCAGCTAAAGAGGAGGAAGAAAGTTTGAATAAATTGGAGAAATTAAAAAAAAAAACAGCCAGATATTTAAATAGAATTTTCTTATCAGTTCTTTGTAAAGTTTTAGCTTTTTGCAAATATTGTAAATTAACCCAGATAAGATAAGCCACTCACTTTCCAAGCGATTCGTTCAACCGTTGCAAACGATTCTGGTCCAGCTTCAGGATGGTCAGCCTGCTCAACTTGGCAATGCCATCGGGCAGTGTTTCTAGCAGATTTTGCGCCAGATCTAGATCCGTGAGGCTCACCAGCCCGCTAACCTCGCTGGGTAGCTCCTCCAGCCGATTCTCGGACACATCGAGGTAGGTCAGTTTGGTCAGCAGTCCCAGCTCCGGCGGCAGACGCTGCAACTGGTTGTGATCCAGCCAGAGTTCATGCAAACCCGGCAGGTAGCCCAGATAGGGAGGCAGGTCCTCGATCTCGTTGTCGCCCAAATCCAAGCGCTTCAGCTTCGTCAGCTGGCTTATCGTCTCCGGTAGATGCTTGAGCAGATTCTCGCGCAGCTCCAAAGACTCGAGCTGCGTGAGGCTGCCAAAGTCCGCCGGCAATGTGGTGAGCGACATGTCGTTGAGGCCCAGGACGGTCAGGTTCTTCAGCTGGGAGAAGCCCGAGGGCAGCTTGGGTATCGGGTTCGAGCTAAAGTCGGCCACCTGCAAGCTCTGCAGATGCTTGATGTCGTCGGGAATGTCGGGTATGTCTGCGGAAGAGAGAGAGAAAACAGATTGTTTACTCATTATTGCTGCGAAATTATGTTCATAAGGGATTTTCAGTGAGCCAGGCTCGTTGGTTATCGGGTTACACAATTCTATCTGCTCGGCTGATTGACTTGCTCACGCATGAGTTGTTCCAGTGGGCCGTCGCGTTAATATATAAATAAACCCGCTATAAATAATCCATGAGACCCACACTCACTGAGCGAGAGAGATGATTTCCGCATATGGTCTATCAAAATCGGCTTTAAAGCGCCAGATATCCTGAATTATCTATGGGACACTATTAAGTCGCCGTTGGTCTTTGCATTTCTGTACATTTTGGCCCTGGCTTTTGTTATTATCTTGTTTTCTCGCTGATAGAGCGAGTCGAAGCGTAAAATGACAAACGAAACTTGTTGATCGAATAAATTTCGAGCTGCCAAAGCGGAAATGCGCACGCAAAGGACCCGGGAAAACCGGGTTGTGTTTGTGTGTGTTTACCAACACGCCCACAAAGCTTTTCCACGAGAGCCTCGCCTGAAAACCACGAAACTGCCAGCAAAAGCAATATGACAGGTGGCCGTAGCGGTGGTGGGAAGAGCCTCAATCCTTAACAACACTGTTTAAATTGACCCAGTTACATGGGGGCGAAAAAAAAACACCCCACTCACCCCCGGGGAAAACGAAACATCGTCGTCGGGCAGGTCAACGCGGGGTGACTTGTCCCATGTGTATGTGCATTCAATCCAACTAATACGACACGTGGGACCCGCAACGCGAACTCGCTACGACAGCCACAACAAAGAGAAAGAAGCTATAGTGCCACGACTATGAGATACCCAGTTAGAACAGCTTCAAATGTTAAAAATCAATAAGCCTGATAAACCTGGTTATTAACTAATTTGAGATAAACTTGACTTCCTTTCCCCAACAATTTGTAAGTATTATTATTATTCCTTGAGCTTTAGCGACTGTTAAGTTTAGTATACCCCTATATTCTACAAGCAAAAGGGTATAAAAACAAAGGGTAAAGGGTAGGTAAGGCGGCTTGTTGAGTGGCACGGAAACAAGTGGAATATTTGGGGTATCGGGCAAACCGGAGGCAGGACATGCTCGAGTTGTGGGGCACACAATGGAAGCGGCTGTGGCCTCGGGGCAATCAGCGGATGTGGCCAGTCATAGACCCCCGCTTTTCTGCTGTTGCTGCTGCTGCTGTGCTGGGAATGTCACCAGTTGTGGCAGGTCGCCGATAAGCCATTTATTTTGCAACTGCATTGCCACAGCCGCATTCATACGGACACGAAGAGCTGCTGCAGCAGCAGCCTTTAATTAAAAAAAAATTATATAAAAATACATATCAACCGACATTTATTTTGTGTCTGCCTGGCATTATGTGCCAAAGAAGACCTTGTTAATGGCCTTGAATGGGCTGGTCAATTATAGAAACTACAGTTGAACATCTATAACTTGCAAAAGCTTTTGTTTTAAAATTAAATAAGAAGCTGAAAACGTTATTGGAAGGTAGAAACTATACCGAGTTAAGATGAACTAAGCAGCAACACTCCCATAAACATCCCAAAACTGTGGCTAAAACATCAAGCTGCACTTTATTTTCAATAAAGCTGCAGAAAATTGAATTTGGTGAAACCAAAGATGCATCAGGATGATCCTTATCCTCGTATATCATAGAGCTCTTTGAACATTAGAAGCCTAAAAGCTTTTGCCGCCGCAGAAGCAGCAGCAGCCACACACATCCGTCAATCCGTCAAGCAAAACACTCAAAATTGGATCCCGCCAGTTGCAGACAAATGGACGCAGCAAGGCGCTTTTCCACCTCCCCTTCAGGCCTCGCATTTTCCCCGTAGTAACACAGCGGCAATTGGAAACATATGGCAGGGCCACACACACGCACGGCACACCACAAGATGCTCAGCTGTGCGGCACAGTTGGCGGTCATTAGATGAACGCCGGTGACAAACAATTCGTTGACCTCTAACACACACACACCCTTGGGGAAAATTGGGGCAGTTGGGCCATTGGGAAACTCATTTGGAGACGGGAAATTAGAGGAAATGCCGGGCGTGCCCAGAACACAGTTGGGAAAGCTCCCAAATGGGCCTCCGAGCGAATTGTAATCAATTTGTGCAATTATGCAACATAGGCGCGGCGAATAAAAAAAAGACTTCCAAATGTATTTAATTTGTTTATCATATTTTGTCGTTATGAGGTGAAATATGGATTCCAAAAATAACCGAAAGATGTATGAATCGGGAACAATGCGGCAGCGTTTCTTTTGCATTTTATAGCGCTTTTATATCACAGCCACCAGACAAGATCAATGATTAAGAACTGTGCCAAAAAAAAAAACCCCAAGAAGCCAAGGCATCAAAAATACAGCAAGCCAAGCGAAACGTCAGCAGACGACAGCGACAACGACACCGCCAAGGGGGCGTGTCCCGAGTTGGGGAAAGGGAGGGTGAAATTTTCACATATGAAAATTCTTTTCAATGTCATTGAACGAAGAAAAATTTTAAGAGCACGCTGCTGCTGCTTCTCTGACGCTTGTGTGAAATGTGAAATGATTTGTCAGTAAATCAAGGCGACCCAGACGGAGAGAAGAAGCAGAGAGCAGATGGGCCTAGCCAGATATGTATAAAAGGGGTGAATGTGGGGGGGTCTGCAATCGAGGTCACCGCCATACATCTTCCTCAATGCAGGCTGCACTTAATGAAGATGATGTCGAGGATGCATATTTCACTAGCTCGAGAGTGGAGCAGCAGGGAAATGGAAATGGGGGGAAAAGAAAAGCCGTCCCCCCCCCATCAAGAGCCTTTCAATTTGCCTTGGATCGGAAGAGAATCGTCCGATTCAATGGCTCGGTTACGTTTTAATCCCCTGCACTCGGCATCCGTTATGAGTTGCCATGGCACGTTGCCATTTCGCTTATTGCCGCCTGCATCCAAAATGATGAAAAGGCTTCTGATACGATGGCCCTGCAGGAGCAGAAGCAGGAGCACGAGCTAGGGGTGTGCCGGTAGCCACAGTTGTTGTCACCGCCAGCCATCTCCCCATGCAATTTTATGGCTGCCATTGTTGGCAGAAAATCCCTAAGCGTGTGGGAATCGAGCCAGTGTGGCAACTCGATAAGTTTTATCGCCCACATTTTTCAAACAACCGGGCTGTTAAAGTTACGATCCTGCCAAATCGCTAATATGCGATAGGACCTAAAAAAGACCACAAAAATTCGCGAACAGGATTTTTGCAAGCCACGGTCACATTGGATCCCCTCACTTCCGTTCTCTTTCTCACAAGGCGTCCCCGAGTTCGGATTAATTTTTGTCGATCCTAAATCCGCAAGCATCGTGTCGATCCGACAGTATTTGTTAAAGCGAATCATACCCATATTAAGTAAATTTAGTGCTCTAACGTATATTGGTAAGCTTGTGTGAATAATCGATCGCCGGAGTGCTAATTTTGCCTTTTCAAAACAGCGTCAGCCGTATCGGCAGAGTCGTCCAAGCGACCGGCATTGTTTTTGCCAGCAATTGCCCACCACGTGAGGTGGCAGTCATTTGTGGCATTCATCGTTGGCATTGTCTGTGGCTTCTCAGCGGGATCAACGCCACGTGTCATCGGAGCATTCGCACGCACAGCGTGGGGCTGCGCTTCCCATTTCGGCGGCCATACACGTGCCGATTGCGGTGATCCTCGATTTGGATTTTCTTTACCGCCTCGCTAACGTGTCACCGTTCCCTCACACGGCGCGCATATTGGATCGCCGTTCCCTCACACGGTGCACATATTGGATCACCGTGCTTTTCTTCGGCGCACCTATTGGATCGCCGTGTGTCTTTTTCGTGGCCACATCGTTCTTTGCCACATCGCCGTGCATCTTTGCCACATCGCGTGCGCTCTGCCGCATCCACACCTTGGCGGGCTGGTCTCGTTCCGCTCACGCCTCACGCAAGGGATTGCGGCCATCCCTGTCGCACATAGTGCGTGTCATTTTCATCAGCGCGAACGACGGAAGTAGCATTACATATCCGTATTGAGAGCTGGTGGCTGATCCGGCCCACACTCTGCTCCAGGAGCGGATAAACATGAATGATAGTGTCTAAAATATAATTAATTTTGCATATAGGAGCTTTTGATGTAAGAATTCGTACTTATAAACCTTTTCGGTCGTAATTTAGCAATTTTTTTGGGAGATTTGGCAATTATAATATCGTTTTGTCCCTCAAATAACTTAAAACACATACAGCTACACATCACCAGTCATCAGGCCTGCTGACGTCGATGGAGAAAGCGTGAGTACGGCCTAGCCGCAAAACAACAAAATAAAACTGAACCCATCCTTATAATTTCGCCAAGACTTCTGAAATAGTTTGCACATCTTAATTAATTAATTGATTCAAAAGAATATTAATAAGTTAATCTATTTAATGTAAAGTAAAAAAGGAAAAAGCGTTCTTTCTTATCTTAAATTTTATTTCCTTTCATTGGATCTAAAACAAACTGACTCAATAAGAGGTCTCGTAACGTAAATAACGTAAACTTAGGCTTAAGGATTAGATTTAGGAAAATGTCTTTCAATATTATCTCAGCCTGCAATTATATGACTTTGAAAATGAACTAATTTGATATCTTGTTGGGCACCTAAGGGGATGTAGAGCATTGGTTGTATAAGGGTGGAGCCTGAATGGACTTCACAGGTTGGGAGGGTTTAGATTGAGGCCAATAACATCGGAGCCTCATCTTCAATAGGTACACTTCCTTCGTCTGATTCATATTATTTACCATATCCCCAGCTAGAGTATCTCTGTCTACAATATTAGTTATGTAGCACCATTGTTCATGTCAACACAAAACCCACGCCCATTTTCCCTGAGCCTGCCGAGCAGAAAAAGTAGACAGAGCGTGTTGAGGTGGACAACGCTCGGTGAGTGTGTTTGTTACAAGCGTCAACAGGGAAAATGGCTTTCCGCCACCAGCGTTCTCACTCGTT